ATGTGTGCCGGATTGGCGGACGGAGGTCCGGCTCTCGACGGTCGCGGTCGGCTGCAGGCGGCCGGTCCCAGCTGCTGTAACGCAAATTCTTCCGGGTAAACGGAGCGAATGTCACGCATGTATCGGCCGTGTTGTGCCGTGACTCACGCCGCCGGGGAGTGATTCATGTGCCGTGCTGTGGTCAGCACGAGCAGGCTCTGATCAGCGCCCGGACGGATCAAACAACACCTGGCAGATCACATGGTGTACGCTCATCGAAGGGACGTGTAGCTGCATAGACATCACGCGACCAGGCAGTGGCATCGTCAATTTCCGCAAGTCACAGCCACCGCAGCGTCCTAGCCTGCGTGTTGGATCAGGCGCCGGGCACGTGCGTGTGTGGGCCGCTGGCGGTGATGATGCGCCACTACCCCCCCCCCCCCCCCCCTCCCTCCTAGTCCGCTGCACGTAGCCTCAGCAGGGGAGGACTCCGGCGGCTGCAGAGAGTGCTGCGCTCAGGCGACGCCGGCCGGCCGGCGAGCGCGTGCCGTGCGCCGCGCCGGGGGAGGCGGCCCCGGCCTCTGCAGCGCTCCGAGGCGAGGCGTCCGGGCCTGGCTGGGACGCGCCGGCGGCGGCGGTGATGGGCTCGGCGTCGGCGCGCTCTCCCGCCGCGGCCTCCGTCAGGCTCCTGTCCGGCCCTCCGAGCCGCCGCCCGCGCCGTCCGGCTCCGCCGCCTCCGACAGTCCGCCGAGCTCTCCAGTCGTCGAACACCGACGCCGATCCGCTCCGGGCCGCGGCTGGAGTCGGCGACTGCGACTCTGCAGCGGCCCGATCTCTCGGCTGGAGCGGTGTCGAGGTGTCGGGAGCCCTCAGCTGGGCCGTAGTATACAGTCTGTCGGCGGATGGGCTGCCCGGTCGGGCTCCCCGTCTCAGAGTGTCGGCGGCGGCGTCTGCCGCTGCCGGGGTATCCAGTCTGTCGGCGGATGAGCTGCCCGGTCCCTATCTCAGACTGGCGGCGGCGGCGTCTGCCGCTGCTGGGGTATCCAGTCTGTCGGCGGATGAGCTGCCCGGTCCCTATCTCAGACTGGCGGCGGCGGCGTCTGCCGCTGCTGGGGTATCCAGTCTGTCGGCGGATGAGCTGCCCGGTCCCTATCTCAGACTGGCGGCGGCGGTGTCTGCCGCGGCCGTCAGCCGGCGCTCCTCCGCCTGGTCGACGGCCGCCGGGACGGCTCGCCGCCGCCGCTCGCTGCCGCAGTCCGTCTCTCGGGCCGGACCCTCCGGTCCGAGTCTGCAGGTCGCTCTCCCCGCACGGGCGGTCGGGCCGCCTGCACTGAAGCCATTGTCCGGTCACGGTATTCAAGCTCCGCGCCGGCCCGCGGCGGTCACCGGCCGAACGGGTCGGGGTGCATTTTACGAGCCCCGGCAGTCGTTTTTTCCTGGTATCGACTCGGCCTCGCTCCCCGCTGTCGCATGCGGACGGGCCACTCGGGGCGTCGTCCGGCCGGCCGCCGGCTCTTCCCATCACTTCTCTCTCTCTCTCTCCTGCTTGGCCGTCCGCTCCGTTCCCTGCAGTCGGCTCGCTGCGGGCGCCTGTCTGATCGCCGTCGCATAGCTGGCCGAGCAAAAACCGGCCGGCTGCGCCGCCGGCTCCTCCATACCGGTGCCGGCAAAAACGCGGCGTTGCTGGCGCGTCCCGGCCAGCTCTGCGGCTGGGAAGAACGGGTCGGCCGCCGCTCCAGGAATCAGGAGCCGTTCATATGTAGATCGGTGACGGGTGCAGGTCGCGCGGGCCCGAGCCGCTCGGCCCGGCGCGGCACGGCCGCGGCACGCCGCATTAGCATCGTAATGGCAGCGCGCCGCTTTCAGGCCGGCTCTGCCGAGGCGGTGATTGGTGTCATTTAGCAGTCCATGCATACGCTGGGAGGGTGACGCCGACCGGGAGAGCGGCGTGCGGCCGCCGCGCGCCGATCGGCCGGCGTTCCGGCCGACCGCGCCGTTCCGGGGTCATCGCGCAGCGCGGCAGGTGGCGGCGGCCTGGCCACGAGCGCCGGCGCCCGAGCACGGCGGCCGGCCGCGCGCCAGTGGACTGGCCGTCGCCGCCGGCCGGACCCCGTCGTCAGTGGAGCGAGGAGGTATTCAGATCGCGCTGGCCGGCCGAGCGGATGGCGACGGAGGGCGTCGGCTGGTGGCGGTGGCCGGGCCCGGGCCGCCGCGCTGAGCCGCCTCTTCCGCAGTCCGCGCTGAGCGACGGTTATGCACACAGCCGGGCGCGCGGCGCGCGGCCGCCGCTGGGAGGCGGGCGGGCCAGGTGACGCTCGCGCCAGGCCGGCCGAGCGTGGCCGGCTCTAGCCAGTGGTCACTGGCCCGGAAGACGGAGCCGGCCGCCAGGAGTGCGGTCAGCGGTCTGGCGCCTGCCAGGAGAGCGGTGAGGCGGCGGACGGTCCGGGCGACCCGACAATGTCCTCGGGCTGCGGCGGGGGTCAGCGGCGCAGGGAAACGTGACCGCACCGGCCGCCTGCGGTGACATGTCGCGGCCAGCGGTCGCCGACCCGTGCGTTCACGGCTCACGCTTACCGGGTGGCCGGACACACGCACGCTGTCGTGGCAGGCTGCGATTACATCTGGGGATACTGCATCACAGCGACTGCGGTGTCGGCAGCAGGGTTGTGTAGGCGGCGGACGTCAGGGGGCTGGGGTCTGAGAACCACGTGCGTCGGCGGGCTTCCGCAGCGGCCGCGGCGGCTCCTCTCCCTCCGCCGTACAACTGACGTGCCGCCTGACGGACTGCGCGTCGTTGGCGGCGGCGTCGGCGCCGTCCGCCGACAGTTAGCGTCGCTTCGGAACGGCGCGCCGACGACAGGGCGAGGCGTCTGGCCAGGTGCGGCTCCCCACAGACCACGGGCCGGGCAGCGGCACGGCGCCGGCCCAGGGTGATGACCGGACGCGGGGGAGGAGGCAAACGCCCCGCCGACGGCGCGGAGAGCTGCCTGTCGCTGGTGGAGGTCATCAGGTGCTGGTCTGGGATCTCTGATGGAGCCCGCTCCGCCCGTCATCACCCCCTGTCGGTGTCCCGCTCCGCCCGTCATCAGCCCCCTGTCGTTGTGCCGCTCCGCCCGTCATCAGCCCCCTGTCGGTGTGCCGCTCCGCCCGTCGCTCCGCCCGTCATCAGGGCCAGGCTGGACCGGCGGCGTCGCTGATGGCCAGATCAGCGGACCGCCCGCCGGCCTCCAATGAGCCGCCCTGTGCACGCCTGATGGATCGGCGGTGTCCGGGCCCGACCGCGGGCCGGCCGAGGGCGGCGGCCGCTCGGCCGGACGGGCCCGGTGCGGCGCCCAGCCCGCCCTGGCAGCCCGCCCGTCCCTCCCTGAGGTTCACAGGCTGAAGCCGATGGAGCGGAGTGGGCGGCGAAGCGGGGCCGCCCGCCTCTGTAGGGCGGGGTGGCCGAGGAGGCCTGCTCTCTGTCTCGGACATTGCTGATCCGGGCATTGGTGCGGAGTTTTTTTTTTTAGCTAGAGCGAGTCCTGCGTAGGCGGCTCAGGACGCGATAATGAGCTGTTCCGTGTATTGGGTGAGGCAATGAGGCGGTCCTCGTGAGTCGAACAAGGCTGGGAACGGCGTCGTTTATCTCGTGGAGCCGCCGCCGCAGCTTAAGCGAAGACCGGTATTTGTTGGTGCGTTATTCTTCCGCGTTATGGTTCGATGGGGAACCGGCGGACTCTCTATGCTGTCAGGCGCTGTTTCGAGCGGTCGAGCCGAGGCTCCATGTTTTACTCAGAGCAGAGGTGACGGACAGATCAAGGCTGGTGGGTGAATGGGAAAGGCCCGAGCCTTCAGAAAAACGTCGGCCGGTGTCGGATTGTGGCGATGGCGGTTCGATTGGAGCCCTGTTATGGCTCTGTAAATGGAGGCTAGTTCCCGTGAAGGGGACTCAGTTTTTCAAATAAGCTGTGCTGCGGACCGAATCAGGTGGCTCTTGTCTGTCAGCTGGTGCGGAAATCGTGACGTCTCCAAAGGCGCCCGTGCTGTTGGACTCGGAGCTGAGCGCCGTAGAGCTCGGAGCGTGCCGGTCGAAGGAGGAACCGCTTCCTTGTCGTCCTCTCGTCCCCGCTCCACACGCCAGCGGGCTCACGCTCCCGCCGGTGGCGCCGACTTCGCCAGAGTCGGACGGCGGCGGTACGAGAGGACACGCCTCCGGCTCCGGCCGCCGGTGCCGGAGGCGTGCCCTGCCAACAGCCCGTGCTGCGGGCCCGCGCCGGCTGCGCGGCCGTCCGCGGTGCCGGCCGGCGGTCCGTGACGGCTCCGACCGGCTGGGTCGGCTCCCGGAGGAGGCGGCCGGTCAGCTCCCGTCGTAGCTGGTCCTGATGGAAACTGACCTGGTCCGGTGTGGCGGGCCTCCGCCCCGCCGCATCTTACCCAACCGCCCGACCTGATGTCCTACGCTTCCTACACATCTGGTAGTGTCGCTCGTCTCATGCGCGCCCGACCCGACGTACCGCGCCGCCGGCCCCCGGGCTCTGTTGTGCCACTGACCCCCTCCGACGATGAGACGACGAACGGGGTCGGGCCGTCTGCTCTCACGCGTCTCCGGCCGGCGGACGCCGCCCGGCCGGTCGGGCCGCGTCGTGCGCGCCGCGCTCAAGTGGCCATTGTGCGCGGAGTCGGCCCCCGCCCGTGACTGAAGCGCTGCCCGGCGTGTGAAGCGGGCCGGTCGCCGCTGTCGGCGCGAGAGCCGTGAAATCGGCCCTCAGTGAGCCGACCGGCCCGCGTGACGGGAGCGCCGCTCTGGGCGGTTTCAGACGAGCTGTCCGCCGCCGGCCGGTCCGCGTACGGGAGCGCCATTCTGGGCGGTGTCGGACGGGCCGTCCCCGCTCTGGGCGCGCCATGGTTTGCTGCGGCGGCGGCGTGGCGCCGGGGCTGTTGTGTGACTGACCGCGTCTCTCCGTGTTGCAGTGAGGAGCGCGTGATCGAGGAGCGTGGCGTCGGGGCTGTTGTGTGACCGACCGTGTCTCTCCGTGTTGCAGTGAGGAGCGCGTGATCGAGGAGTACCGTCTGCTGACCGGCACGGCCCGCGGCACCGCCATCGTCACGTGAGTCCCGGCCGCCGCCAGAGGCGTGTGACGCTGTGACGCGCCGACGCGGCGGGGGGCGCCGCGCCGCCGCCCCGGCCGGCCGGCTCGCAGCTGACTCGCACCACGCCGGCTTTGGTGTGCGGACGCGCGTGAAAATGGCTGGGCGCTGAGCGGGTGTGAGGTGCGCTGGCCGATTGTGGCGTCTGGCGGGGCGTCGACGGCCTCGCCAGAGCCGCAGAGCGCCCGCCGGGTCGGCTCCAGCTCCGGCCCGCCCCGGCGCGGCAGCTGGCGGCCGGCCGTGCCCAGTGTCTGACAGTGCGAAGTGACTATCGGCGGTGGCGAGTCTCGGTGCGAGCTGTTGTACCATCACTGGCATTGCCGATCAGCCTGGTCGGGCGTCAGTTCTATTGACCTCCGGTCTGATGTCAGTTCTTGTCTTAGTTCTGGCGCGAGAATGTCAGGGACGTTAGCGCTGCTCGTAGCTCACGCTGCCTGTCTGACATGCGTTGCGCTTTTTGCAGCGTGACCGACCCTTTCCCCGGCGGGTTTTTCGGGTGTACCGGGCAGGTCGGTGTTTTTATCCGGTGCCGTATCTGGCCATCTTGGCATCCCGGATTCTGCGGCTCGCAGCGTTGGGCCGCGCCTCTCAGTGATGATCGCCGGCGTCGCTGCGGGCCGCGCTGGGTGTGAAATGACTTTAATAGTGGGTGCGCCCTTGAACCTTCGTCGCCGCCGTCATCATGCTCGGCTGCGCGGAAGCATTCGTGGCCGGCGCGGCCTTCTGCTTCGGCGGCCGGGCAGGCAGGCCGCCGGCGCGCGCGGCCGGCGCCTCTCGGCGGCGCAGAGGCACTCTCCCGTGCACTGCTCTGCGGATCGGCCTGCTGTGCCCTGGACCGCACGTGCGGTTGGAGGTCCGGTACCGCGCCATAAAGCCGCCGAGCTTGTCGGTAAAGAAAGGCGTCGTGAGCTGCCGTTTTGTTCCCGCTTTTTTGACCGTCACTTAAGTGGGCGGCTTGTGGGAGGGCCTGCAGTCAGACCCGACAGACCTGGCAGGCCCGGCAAGACCCGGCAGGCCTGGTCTGACAAGAAGCTGGGCGGGTCTGCGGTGGCCGCTGGGCCAACACAGTCGTCTGAGTCGACGTCGTGTGGTGTTCACTGCTCCAGGAGACGCGCCAGGGGTCAGAGCGCCACTTGCAGCAGATTCAGTGCGCTCGCCGACCGCAAATTCGCCGCGGCTTTCAGTTTTCATAGTCGTCTTGGGAGATGGTCTGGTTATTTTCATCATCTCATAGGCTCTAGCTACGTCGACGAAGAGGATTGTGTGGTGTGCTTCTGGGAAATCCGCTTGGTTGTCGTCAGCCCGCTTAAAAACGAAGTAGTTGATGCGTGTCGAACATATGCCTATTTATTACGGTCTGTCGAGCTGCATTTGGCTCTGCACCAAACCCTGGATCCTCCCTCTTTGTCCGTTGGATTTCGGACGCCTGCGGCATCACCATCGGATTTGCTTCGCTTGCGGCTTCACGGTCGTTGCATAGCTGTGATGCCATGGTGCCGTGGCTGTGGCGATGCCTTCTCCGCCACGTCTGCGTCCGTCCGGGCCGCCGGCTCCACGGAGCACCCGTGAACACACGCGGGCCGGCCGGGCGCGGTCTCCGTGCGCCGCTGGTCAAGCAGGGCGTGCCGACCTGGGCCGCCGTGCTGACCGGGCGCTGCTCACCTCGAGCCGGCGTCGATAGCAGACGGGGTGTCCGATGTGCGGCCCCGGCTCGGCGCCTGGTGGTCTCAGGTTCGGCGTCAGACCGGGCGGTGCCGGCGTTGGTGTCTGGCGACCTGACGTCAGATGACCTGGCCGACCTAGCCGACCGTTTGACTCGCCCCGCAGCGCCCGTCCGTCCTCTGCGCGAGCTGACCGAGCCGTCCCGGCCGCGGCCGCTGGTGATCGGGTACTGAGTCGAGCCCGTCCGTGCTATGCGCGAGCTGACCGTGCCGTCCCGGCCGCCGCCGCCGCCGCCGCCGCCGGTGATCGGGTACCGGGCCGAGCCCGCTGCCGCCGCCGCCAGCCGGCACGCGACGGCCGATTAGCGTAGCCGAGCTCGATAGCCGCGGCCTCCAGCCGCGGTGGCAATGACCTCGCCGCACGCGCGCGCCAGCCGCGGCCGTGACCGGTCGGGCGGCCGTCGGCTCCCCGGGAACAGCGGCCGTCGGCTCCCCGGGAACAGCGGCCGTCGGCGCCCCGGGAACATCGGCCGTCGGCGCCCCGGGAACAGCGGTCGTCGGCGCCCCGGGAACAGCGGCCGTCGGCTCCCCGGGAACAGCGGCCGTCGGCGCCTCGGGAACAGCGGCCGTCGGCGCCCTGGGAACAGCGGCCGTCGGCTCCCCGGGAACAGCGACCGGCAGCCCCCCGGGGACAGCGGCCGTCGGCGCCCCGGGAACAGCGGCCGTCGGCTGCCCTGGAACAGCGCCCGTCGGCGCCCCGGGAACAGCGGCCGCCGGGTGCCGGCCGAGAGCACAGGACTGGGCCGAGTCACTGGGCGGGAGGCGATGCGGTGTAGAAGTTCACTGCAGGCGCACGAACGCCCGCCTACGCTGTCGGGCGTGCTGCAGTGCCGGTCCGGCAGCTCCTGGTCCCGGCTGGTCCCTGGTCCGGCGGGAACCGGCCCCGCGGCCGTCTCGGTACGGGGTCGTCGCGTTTTGGGCCGCACTTCGCACGCGATGCGCCGGCGTCTCCGAGACCGCCGCCACCTCTCCCCACCGCCGGCCCGCGGCACACCGCTCCATGTCGGAGAGTGGACGGTGCACGACCGAGATGTGCGAGGCCGCCGTGCCGGAGACTGTACGGACAGGTCCCGCCGGTATGTGTGCGCGGGGGCGGGTGAGGCATATTTGGTGTGACTCACAGGCAAGTGTAGCCACCGTACGTGGTTGCGGGCTGTGCGCCTCGCTCCCCTCGTACCGCCGGATCTGATCTCGGCCCCGCCGCGCGCGCCAGACGGCCCGCGGCCGCCATCAGTGCGGCGGTCGCTCCTCGGGAAACTGCGGCGACGGACATTTCCGCCGGGCTAGCGTACGCTAGCCGACGGGACCTCATCTGAGCGTCGCTCGGAGATGGCTGCAGCGCCCGTCCGACCGTGCCGTGTGTGGGCCGCCCGCCGGCCGACCGGACCGCCCGGCCGGCCAGTCCGGCGTCCCGGCCGGCCGACCGTTTCTGCGTGAAAACCGGTTTTGTGTGGCGGGCGGCGGCGCTGCAGCGGCAGGTCTCGACGGCGGCGGCGGCGGCGGCCGGGCGGAGAAGCTGCCCGGCGCCCGCCGTGTCGCGCCGCCCGGTACAGACTGTGACTCAGAGCGATGGGAGAGCTGCTCACGTGGACTAGATAGAGACCACTCCGCTATCGTGACACCTTCTCCGCACACGTGGTGCCTGTCGGCCGGGAGGGCGGGGGGTGGGCGGGATCCCGCGCGCCGTCTGCTCAGGTGGGCGCGGCTGGCGTGGCCGCAGCTGGGCGCCGGCCGCCGCGCCGCGCGTGACGCGGCTCGACGTCAGCGTCGTTCCGCCGCTGGCGGCCGCGGTTGACAGCCCGCTCCGGCCGCCAGGTACCTGAGTCAGGCCGAGCGACTGCCCACCTACGGCGTGCACTTCTACCGCGTCACCGACAAGAGCTGCAACAACGCCTGGTGGCTGGGCATCTCGACGCTGGGCATCGCGCAGTACGACATCGCCGACCGCGGCAAGTCGCGCCGGGTGAGTGGACGCGCGACCGTGGCGCGCGACCGACCGGAGTGGACGCGTGACCGTGGCGTGGTGACGACCCGGTCGGCAGGCAGCCGAGGCAGGCGCCGCTGCCGCCGCCGCCTGCGTGAGTTCTTATCGTAGTGATTATCGTCTGGGTATCGTCCGTTAGCGCGATATGACCAGCGAAATAGGCTCCGCGTGAGGTTTGAAATTAAAAGGGGAAATTTAGTAGCTAAAGCCTCCTTAATCACGCCTCACATATACTCATTTATTTGCTGGTTCTCACGCGCTGGGAAGGATGTGAACGATTCTCAGGCGCTGCTGGAGTGAAACTTTCCTCGGGGCCCAGACTGACACGGTGGAGCCGTTTTCCCACATGCTGCACGTGATCTAAGGTGCGTGACTGCAGACCTGGCTGTCCACGAGATGACCGGGAGCCACCGGAGCAGCTCATCGCAGCCTACGAGACCACGTCCGCCGCCCGCTGTCGTCCCGGCTCTTTCATCCCCGTGTTGTGTTTTCACAGCTGTTCCAGTGGAAGCAGTTGGAGAACGTCACGTTTCGTGACGGGCGCTTTTCGATCGAAGTAGACGAGCCCAAAAAGTAAGTCTCGCTCGCCGGGGGCCGTGCACGCGTCTGCTGTTGCTGGCTGCTTTCGGGCTGTGGAGTATGCGCAGCTTAGCCCGTGTGTGCGCGTGTGTGTGTGGGTGTGAGCGTGTGTGTGTGGGTGTGGGTGGGTGTGATCGCACGCGCTTTCTGTTCGGCTGATTGTTGTCAGTAGCGCAGATCGCGAAACGACCCTGCGTGTTGCGGTTCTGCTCACGGCAGCGGGATCCCGTGCAGTGTGTAGTACACTGTGGATATGTTTGCGTGCTGGTCTGTGCATGCTTTCGGTGTAAAGTATGCTGTAAATTGGAATCAAGGGTAGAGTTGGTCCGCCGTCGCCGCCATGCGTTACGTCAAAACATCGCCGTGAGGAAATATTGCTGCGGTTTTGTTCAAACATAAAAGATAAGGTTCGCCCTCCCCCCCCCCCCATACACACACACATACGGACAGTAGGCTGTAGTCGGGCGGCGCTCGTGTCTGGGTCAATGAGGCCGGAAATACGCTCCCAATGCGGCCATTGATGCCGTCAGCGTGCCCATGGCGGCGCTGTCAGCGGCGTGGCCGGGTCCGGCCGGCCGCCGTTCCCGCCCTGAGCCTCGCTGACCCGTCGCCAGTGGCGCTGTCCCCCGCCCGGCTGTATAGACGAGACGGGCAGCCGGCGTCTGGCCGGTGAGGGATGCCCCGCCACGCACGCTTAATGGAGCGCTAGCGGCAAGGGAGCTTGCCCCCCCCCCCCCCCCCACACACACACAGGCCATAGAATTGGTCAGGAATGGAAGCCGGCCCACTCATAGTGTGTATCGGGAGCAAAAGGCGCGATGGTACCGAAATGTGCCAGTGAAACTTCGAAAAAATACCAACATAAGCTAGAAATGACATTTAGCCTTTTCATGAATGAGATACCAGTATGCTGAAAGGAGCATTAGACGGGGAGCTGGAAATCAGCTGTGAGCCGTCATTTGCCACGCAAGATCTTGGGCTTTCTCACAGTGCTCTCTCATGTGAAAGTTCACTTTTTACTCCCGGAAATCACCGCCCCACTTCACAAGCAACAGCGCTGCTGCACACAAACACACCCACAGCCTGAGCAGGCGGCGGCACCATGCGTTCACCCTCCCACCCTGCCAGGCTGGTAGGGAGACGGCCGCCGACCGGCCCCGCTGTCCGTCCCGTGTGCCGTGTGGTGGCTCCGCGCACGCTGGCATGGCAGAGCCGCGCCGCCGCCGCCGCCCCCGCCGGCCGTCGCTAATGCATGCCGCCGGCCGGGTCGTCCCACAGAGTGGTGCATGCGCTGAGCAGCTTCAACGTGTACGAGGACGCCATCGGCAACGACACGTCTGGAGACGACCTGGTCACGGCCATCTCCGACCCCTGCACCCAGTGAGTGAGCGCTGTCTGTGCACCCAGCGAGTCGCCGGACCGCGCCCAGTGAACCGCCCCTGCACCCAGTGGGCGACCCCACCGCTCAATGGCCTCCACCTAGCTGTGACACCTGACCGCCCTGTCGGGATCCAGTGAATGACACCCCACCCTCACACCCTGCACCGTGTGGGAGGCGTCACCTACGCTGCATCCAGACCTCCCTCCCTCCTCCAGTGGAAAGCGCTGTCACGCCCATGCGCCCAGTGAGTGACATAAGCATTCCTCGGCCCGGTGGCCAATGGCGTATGTCCGGATCTCCCTGGTACCGCCGAGAGCTGACGTTCACGCCACGCCACGCTCGGGGACTTGCGGACCAAATGGGTGACGTTAGCTCTTCTCGGACCTCGTTGCCCAATGACCCAGTGGGGCTGCTGTACGCAGAACATGACGCACTGTGTCTGGTCTGGTCTGTGTCTGGTCTGGGCCGTGGGCGGCCTGCTGGTGGCGCTGCCGGCGGCCCGAGGCACGCTGCGAGGATCGGCTCGGGCCGCGCCTCGGCGTGTGTCCGCGCCACCGCGCAGGGATTGAAGGCTGGCCGCAAGCTTTCGTCTCTCGGAACTGGAATTGCTCGGCGATAGCGAGAGCACTCGCAGTAGGCCCTGGGGAGCACGAGCGGCGCCGGTCAGCCTGCATGATATCAAACAACTCCAGCTGTACACTCGAGCTGGTTTTCCCGTACGCGGGTGACGGGTCATGTCCATGCACAGCAAGCGTCGCGTGCCTGCTCCCATTCCTCTGGCGTTGTCTGTTGAGCGGGGGCTTAGACCTTGAGATCAGTTTGCGGTGGCGTGGGCGTGAGTGCGGCCGGCCTGACCGCGTCCGCGCGTCGGTGCTGGTGACGTCGGCAGAGCCCGTCATCGGCCGCTGACGCTCCGCCCGCGGCCGCGCCTCGGGCCGTCGCAGCGGACCTGTTGTCGTAATCAGTGCTGATTGTGCCGCGCTCGACTGTGATCGAGCTGATCTCGCCCGCCGGCCGAGAGCTGTTATCTCATGATGTCACGGCGGGTGATAACGTGCCGCCAGCACAGCCCGCCGCCAGTGGGGAGGGCAGGGCTATTTTGCAGCGCCGCGTCCGGTCTCCGCCACATCCTCTCAGTCCGTGTAGCCTCGAGCCATGACCTCACGTCCGCCGGCCTCACTGTCCGTGGTGTTCCCCTGTTGCGTCGTCGCCGCCACATCCTCTCAGTCCGTGTAGCCTCCTCGAGCCATGACCTCACGTCCGCCGGCCTCAATGTCCGTTGTGTTCCCCTGTTGCGCCGTCGCCGCCACGTCCTCTCCGCGAGCGCCGAGCCGAGCCGATAGTGCAGTCCTGTCCCGCGCGGCGACTGAGCTCAGCATTCCGCCCTCCCGCGCGCAGGGTGTCCGTGAGCCGCCGCACGCTCGGGCCGGGACACATCAGCGTCTACTCGTGGTTCGCCGCCTCCCAGACGGCATGCCGCAACATCTGGTTCACGGCCGTCTCGCAGCACCAGTTTCACGTCGAGGGCAAGAAGGAGTCCAGGGTGAGGCGCGCCGGCGCTCGGCGTTGTGTGCGTGGAGACTGGGGGCGCCGTTTGTTCCCAGACGTGGGCGTAACGCGCGTATGGGGAGGAGGGGACATTGGGCCGCAGCCGCAGTATGCTGTAAGGAGTCTTTCGGACTTCCAAAAAGACTCCCAAAATGACTCCCAAAATGTGCTATGTTGCCATGGACTTTGTTGTGGATTGAGGGTTTTTTCACGTGGGATTGATGCGTTGCATATACGTACTGCCGCCATGTCGCCATCCCCCACCCCTCCAGGGTAGCATGTTAAAGACTTGTCGACTTGTCGACGAGCTTGCCTGGTCTCATGTTGTACTGGCGTGCTGTCCGTCGGTGCCGGCGCGCCGCTGCAGCGCCGCCTCCGGCCGCGGCGCTCGGCGCTTGACGCCGATCAGGACGCCCTCTGACAGCGCGCGCCTCGTCCCCCGCAGTCGGGTCTGCAGGCGGCGCGCGCGCTCTCTGAGATCGCGCGCGACCTGAGCCGCTCGTCGGCGGCACTCTCGGCGGTCGGCAGCAGCTCGTCGCTGAGCAACAGCGGCTCCCTGCAGTCGCTGGCGGTGAGCAGCCTGACGGACGACTCGGAGCAGCAGGCCGCGCGCATGGAGATGTGCGCCGCGCTGCAGGCGCGCCGCGACGCGCTGGAGGCCAAGCTGGCCGAGCGGACGGCCGAGCTGCGGCTGCTCTGCCTCAAGGAGGCAGAGCTGACCGGCCAGCTGCCGGCCGAGCTGCCGCTGGTGCCCGGCGAGCCGCTGCCGCAAGTGCGCCGCCGCATGGGCACCGCCTTCACCCTGCCCGAGACGCTGCTCAACCGATTGCGCGGCAGCCAGGTACGGCACGCGCCGGCGCCGCTGGGGTCGGGCACCGCACGGGGCGCCGACATTGGGCGCCGCGGCTGGTGGGATCAGGGCATTCGTGTCATGCTCTGCCTGTTTCTGAGGTGACTGGTCGCAGATTGTCAAGCTGCCTGCCTAGCCTGGTCAGCGCTCGAGTCCTTAGTGGTTGAGTTAGCTGTAAGCTGTCAGCAGTCTGTTGAGCTAGCGGCTGCTTCGGACCCGGCAACAGTTACGCGGTCTGAGCGGCTGACTGTTGGCGACTGTTTCTTGTCACGACGAACAGTGGCGACTGTCGAATCGTTGTCTCCGACGCCTCTAAGCGGGACAAAATGGCAGGACGGCGTTACGACCCGGCCGTTTGTATCCCGAGAGCCGACGCTGACCCGACTCGACCTGACCGCCAGGAGGAGCTGGTGTCGGCGCTGGAGCTCGATTACGAGATCCAGAGCAAGATCACCACGGCCGCGCTCAAGCTGGCCAACGACGCCACCATGAAGAAGGTGCGCAAGCAGCGCAAGCTCAGCTACCAGATGTCGGCGCAGAAGCTGCGCGAGATCGAGGCCAAGCTGAAGGCGGCGCGCGCCAAGCAGCTGCAGAAGCGGCAGAAGGCGCCGCGGCCCAGCAGCGACGGCGAGGGTGAGTCGGCGCCGCCGCCGCCGCTCGCGACGGTGGGACGTGCTCCCCGCCCACTGGTGACCGTCAGACCTTCTCCTGTCGGGTGGAGGCGGGCCGCCGACTCCGGACCGTGCCTGGGCGCCGTGGCGTCCTCTTCGCTTGTTAACGGCGGATGGCGGTGTCTGTGTTGCAATTTGTGTGCGTGGTGGGTCGCCTCCTGCGTCAGCGGCTCCCTGGAACGGAATGCTGGCGTGTCTTCTTGCGGTAGTCACTGTGGTAGGAACAGGAAGCTTGATACAGCGGCCTTTCCTGACCGGCCCCCGGGACAATTGCGTGGAGTAAACTGAGCATGCGTCATGACGCGGCGATACGTACGCCTTACTCACCGCGTACATTCCCGCTGACCGTGCTAAAAGTACACGGGAGCTGGCTGATAGCATGATTGCGCTGGTCAGCTCAACTATTCTGGCTATGCTATGGGTTTCCGTACTAAATTCGGCTATTCCTTGCAGACCTAGTTGTCCCAAGCTGTGTTGCAATGAACTCGATGAAAAGAAGTTTACGGTGCCCGCCTTAAGTCGCCTCTTAAGTCCACAGCGAACAAATTCCGTTTGTCTCGTCACCTTTGGCCAGCAGGCCTCAGTTTCCGGTAAACATGGTAGATAGGTGCATATTCTTGCCCTTCTGTGGTGTGCGTGTCGGCCGCAGTCTTTGGGTGGTGACCGTGTGCGTGTTCGCCGGAGCTGTAGCTGTCGGGTGGTGACCGTGTGTGTTGGCCGGAGCTGTCGGGTGGTGACCGTGTGTGTTGGCCGGAGCTGTCGGGTGGTGACCGTGGGTGGCCGGAGCTGTCGGGTGGTGACCGTGTGTGTTGGCCGGAGCTGTTGGGCGGTGACCGTGCGTGTTGGCCGTGTCCGCAGACCACCACAGCGACGAGGACGAGAGCTCGGTGGCCTCGGCTGAGGGGGTCAGCCTATCGCCGATGAACGGCGCGCTGCCGCCGCGGCCGCCGCGCTCGCCGGAGCGGCCCGGGCCGCGGCCCGCCCGCCGACACCCGGCCTACCTGGTGAGCGGCGCCCACCTGACCTGACCTGACCTGACCTGACATGACGAGCAGTGCTCCTCGGACCGAAACTGGGCTATGCGGGACGGAAAAGGACGCCAGGCCTCGTTATTTTGGGTGTTGTGTTTTGTCCACGGGCCGCAGTCGCAGATCACCGGGGAGAATATCAGCCAAGAGAGGACGACGAGCCGTGCGCGCGAGGGCGGCGCCCGTAACGCTGGTTCGGGTGCCGTCCGGGGCAGTGCCAGGTGACGAGGTCGACCGCCGTCGGAGCCACGTCGCTGACGCACGCTCTGCTTCAGGCGGAGCCGCTGGAGGGTCCGGCCAACAGGGCGCGGGCCCAGTCGGCGCCCGGCTCGCCCAAGAAGATGCCCAAGTCGCGCTCTGCTACGCTGCACGTGCCCTGCTCGCGGGAGCCGAGCCCGAACGCGCACGAGTGAGTGGCGACGGGCTGGGGATGGGGCTGGGGCCGCGCAGCGGCGCCCCGCCCCATGCTGTTATGATGAGGTGCCCTAGCCTGTGGTGATTTAGATGTGCCTGCACCTGCGGAGGTTTAGAGGAGTGTGGTGATTCACGTGGTGTTAGAATTGTTGGGGCGTTATCGGGGACCTTGTGCAGCTGTGAGCCGTTATCGCCGCGCTCTGCGCAGTGCGATGCTGACTGGCTTAAAGTGCTGCTGATAGCTAGACAGTGTTCGAGGCGATGTCGATGACGTACGCTGCAGGCAGGGGGCCAGCGCGTTGACGTTCGTGTTGATCTCTTCCAGTCTTAATGGCGGATACATCCCCAGCTCGGTGTACACGCGCTCTTCCTATCGGAGCAAGCAGTATCCGACCCTCAGTCAAAGAGGTGAGAGGTACACTCGTGGCAGCCAAATCGTGTTTTTTTTTTCACGGGCCCCGATGCGTTATCATCTGCCTGCCCTCGGGGATCCGTTGTTTTGTTGATAACGCCCACACCATGCTTCAGTGTTGATTTCTCGTGCCTGTCCTATATATGACACATCGCGTCAGCTGATTTACCAGGCTTATGATCATGTGACGCTCGGATGCCGTGGTGAACGTTTATCCCGGGCGGCGGTCGTGAAGGCCAGCCCATGACTGGCCGCGGCTCTCCTGCTGACTCCCGATGCTCGGCCTGCAGACACGCCGCCGCCGCCGCCGCCGCCGCGCGAGTACTGGTCGCCGGGTGGTATGTACAGCGTGCCGCAGCGGCGGACGGCGCCGGCCGCCGCCGCCGCCGCCACCGCCGCCCTGCCGTCGCCCATGCACCACCTGAGCGTGGACGAGCTGGACGGCAGCTTCGAGGCGGCGCCGGACGAGTCGGCGCGCTTCGGCAGCCTGGACCGGCGCCGCCACGTCTCGTCGGCCGGCCACCTGACGTTGGAGGCCCGCAGCATGGACCGGCTGGACGGCGGGCCGGCCGGCGCGCCGCCGGCTGCGTCCGGCGAGCCGCCGCGCTGGCCGCCGCCGCCGCAGCCCGCCGCGCTTCACTGACTCGCCGCTGAGCGCCGTCAGCGACGGCCTGCGTCCGGCGCACGCGCGCACCGGCAGCCTGCCGGCCGACTCGGCGGCGTTCGGGCGCCACCTGAGCGCCGCGTCGGCTGGCGACCACTCGCCGGACGCGGCGGCCGCGCGCCGCCGCCGCGAGAAGGCGTGGTACGAGACGTCGCTCGACTCGCCGGACGTGGCGCGGCGCGCGCGGGAGCGGCTGCCGCCGGCGCCGCTCGACGCGGTCGACGGGCCGCCGCGGCCGGCGCAGGCGCTACTGGACGTGTCGGTGACGCCGCTGGTGGCGCCGCCGCGGCCGCAGGTGCCCGTCACGCCGCTGGAGGCGCTGGCCACGCCTCGTCACCAGGGTCGGCAGCCGGCACCGGCGCCGCGGCCGCCCTCGCCGCCTCCGGCCGACGCCACGCCGTCGCCGGCTGCGGTGGCGGCCGAGTCGCCGCGCAACCAGACGCTGATCCAGCCGGGGACCTTCCAGCCGTACCGCGAGACAACCAAGCCGTTCGAGATGTCCGACTTCTACAAGTACAGCACCAAGTTCCGGCGCCAGAGCCAGGGCAGCGGCGGCGAGAGTCCCAGCTCGAGCGGCAGCGGGCGCAGCGTGCCGCCGTCGCCGCTCAGCGGCCAGCCGGGGGCGCCGCCGCCGGCGCACGGCTCGGCGGCCGGCTCGCGCCCCGTGCTGCCTTCTCCGCAGCGCGGCCTGTACCAGCCGCCGGCGCCGCAGCAGGCCTGCCAGCCGACCCGGCCGCCGCACGGACGACCACGGTGAGTGAGGCGCAGGGACGGACCCGACGCCGGAGTCATGGGGAGATTGTTGAAATGCACGGGGCGGAGAGAGGCGGGCAGGCTTGGCAGGTTACGGCGCTGAAGTGGCGGGGCTTAGTTCAAGCCTCTCTGAACTGCGGCAAAAACGGGAGCTTGGCGAATTGTGATCGGTGCTGTTGCCCGCGCCGTGTGGACCGATCAGTCGTGATAGGTGGCGCTGTGGGGCCGTGGAGGCCCGCTGTCAGCCAGCGCCGTGACGCCCACGTCTGTCGGCAGGGCCACACCGCCGCCGGGCACCGCCTCGCCCGGCCAGCCGGGTTCGCACAACTCCAGCTTCCAGCTACCAGCCGACTCGGTGGCCGACGCCTTCCACACGGAGATGCTGGCCTGGTACGAGGGCGGCCGGCCGGCCGAGGCGCCGCCGCCTCCGGCCGCCGCTCAGAGTCGTTCGGCGACGCTGGTCTGAGCCCGCTGTGATATCCGCCCCCCCCCCCCCCCCCTGCCGCTCCCTGCCGGCATGCCGCGGCCGGCCGCTGTACAGACTGACGTTGTGATACGCATTTTATATTACGAGTACAAACGTTATTTTACTAATGGGATCATTGCATGACAAGTATTAGCGTTCACGATGTTGTACATATGTGCATTACAGCTGTTGCTCATTTTCAGGAAATACAATATTTCTGAAGCGCGCGTCGTTTATTTGTGGATGGAGCACACTTCTGGCAATATGATCAGGTGGAAGGCATCCGCTGGCCGTGTATGGCAACACCTTACCGACGTATTATCGAAGAGTGAACTTTCGCAACAACATTCTGTTCCGCATATACTGATGGCAACGCACAGGACCCTTCCACATAGCATTCCACAAAGCACGCAAGCAGCGGGTGCCGCCAGGACAGGACATCATTCCACACACCGCGACTGGCTCGGGCCGTTCGACAGGACATTCTTCCACGCCGCGACTGCCTTTGGTCGTTCATCACATTCGGAATACGCTGAAGACGCGACGACAAAGTGACATGCGACAAATACAAAACCCTGGAGATGTGAAAATGCGAAAGCGTAACAGATTAGGGAAGTATAACGCCAGTGTATTTCTGAAGTGTGGGTAGATTAAGCCACCAGGAATGTTGTGATGGGCGTCTTCAGTGGATCATACTGGCTTCGTCGTCTACTGATGCTCAGTCACTTCTTCATTGGAACTGTGTTGGTGAAATCGCACACATAGCATGGCTGACAGTTGTGATCCGCGAAATGCCGTTCGTTTCGCCAATGGCTGGTCACGCATTTTGGTCATATTTAAGGGCTGCGAGTGCACTGAGTTCATAAGCGAGTAACAAGAGAATATCCGACGATGACCCCGAAAAACGGTTTGTTCTTGTTTTAAAGAGCCGAAAAAGACGGCCCACCTCCGACACGATCTTTGATGGTACTCAGTCATGTGTAATAATGCACTTACACTCATTCTTGTTTGACTGATTCCCAAAATGGGGCTCCATGGCACGCTTGATGATACGGGCTTATTCAAAAGGCCTCCGTTTACGCGCGCCTGCCGACATCAGATACTAACCTGCAAGGCCGCGAATGACAAACCAATCTAGCTCAAACCGAGCATCCACTTAAGGGTCCGCTAAGACTTAGCCGACTGGGTCTGCGGCTGAGGATGTGCCATTAAGTACATACGGCCAGTGCACACATTATGTGGAGGACGAAACCGCACTTATGTAAGGTAGGCGCAATAATAACGGGCTCTATTCACCCCCGGTTCGCGTACAACGGGGTAGATACAACAATGTCGGGCTATATTCGCCCCGGTTCGTGCATAACGAAAATGTGTTACTGCACGCATGCACGAGGAACGGCTACTTTTGGCGCTGTGCTAAGCGCGGTTAATGACATGCTGCACGCACACTCACAGCCAAGTTGGCACATTTCTGAGAAAATTAAGCCCCTATTCACGGAGCGTGCAGCTCCGCACTGCGAGCTAGCACACCGGGAGCACAGCACCGCTGCGAGGGGCGCCCTGGCCAGCCGAGGCGCGCGACCCCCTCACTCGCCGGAGACGGTCCTGTCTCCAGCGGCGGCTCCGAGCCGCAGCAGCCGGTAGCGGTCTCCGGGAGACGTCCAGGGGTCCTGGCCCCTTCTCTGGGAGTCCCCGGACGGGGAGATGGTGGCGCCTCTGGTGGCGATTGCATGAGATTGTCGCTCCGACGTGTGCTGAAGCGACCGGCAGTATGCGTGGGAGGCTACCCGGTGCGTGACACACCGCTGGTCTCGTGCACCCAGCGCTCACTCGCGGAGTAGCGTCCGTGTCAGCGAGGGCAGCGCCAGCATCCACCGCCGCTGTGGTCCGGCTCCGTCCACCCCGGGACGGTGTCCACGATAACTGAAGAGGCAGCCCGCTGCCGTTCGGCGGTCGCGGCCTGTCCGGCACCGATGGGACCAGCGCCAACCTGCGGCTACCGAGCGCGTCACAAGAAGCCGGCGAGCCGCGCCCAGCCCCAGACCAGCAGCGACAGCAGCGGGAGCGTCAGGCCCGGCGCCGGCGCCGCCGCTGCGCCGCACCACGAGTTCAGGAACATGCCCGTCACGTTGTGGTAGAGCTCGGCCGCGTGCTCCTCGCACTGCTCCAGCTGGCCGCTGCGCTCCAGACAGCGAGACTGGCGCCGCAGCGGTCTGTGGGCGAAACACCCGGGCGGCATCAGCGACGGCGTCGTGGCTGGCCACGGGCGCCGCGGGCTGACCGTCGCAGGTCACGACAAACGGCTCCACTCCGGCGGCTGTTACACCTGACGACCGCGTGTCGCGACCACTCTTGCAACGGCGACGCCTGCAGGCACGCTGTTAGGAAAGGGAGCCACGGAAAGGAGGCCACGGCTTCGAGGGCAATGACCACAGAAGGGCTGGTAATCATCACTACGCAAGGCGTACATCTTCACACGGCCTGGCTGTTTCTGGTATAACTTACGTGCAGATTTCGTCCTGTTGCTTCTCCATTCTAAGTACTTGAGGCCAGAGGTTTTCGGTAAGTGAGCTGTCTTCGCATTCTTTGGCCTCGAGCAGGGCTTCCTTGTAGCAGCTGACTGACGACACCAGCACTGAAACACAGCGGAGTATTTGCGAGCGGTGAAATCAGAACGAGTGACACTTCAAGTCACAGATATCAACATCACGTTTTCATAGACCTGCCACTGAGCCAATGGCGGTACATCACTTCAAATCATAAAAGTTATTCGTAATCCAGGAGAATAAAACGGAGAATCCCCACACGTCATGAAGACTGTTGTGATGCTGAACTGTCTTCATGCCTGCCGCCTATGCCGGCCATTGCGTTCGTGTAGCAAAAATGCCTGTAGATCATGCACAAGAGGCGATTAGGAATTCCAACGGGGTCGCTTCCTGGCGACCGCTAAACAAACACTTTCCTGGATGTGCAGGCATTCACAGCGACAGAAATGGACAAATACACGGTTTCATGTTCGCTGCATTTCCCGGCATTTATGTAACAGCAGGGCAGTCCAGTCCCGCGCCGGGGCTGAATGCAGACAGCGAGGCCTCGGCAAACTGTGAATAGGCTGTGCAGGCCAACCAAGAGGCGCTCCCACACCTCGGCGGCGCGCCGCGCCTCGCCGCACCATAAAAAGGCGCGCTGGCGATGGGATGGCGAGCTGGCGGGCTGAGTTACGTGCAGGCGCTGTGATCAGCGGCGGCAATCGGGGCAGCTCTCGTGCCTTGCCTACACGCAGCTCCAGCGTGTCTGTTGCCACGGCAACGCGCTAGCCTACCAATACCTGTGCTAATTAACCCGCTACCCGTCTCACTCTACCCGCCGCCACCGTCGCCCCGAAGGCTGCGCGATTGTGGGCGAAGCCCTGGGCGGGCGTCGTGCTACCGTTCAGTGGTTCCGCGTTGCGGGGTAGTGAGCAGAGGTGATCATGTCGCGCAGCGACGAAAGGCGTTCTAGCCCGGGCAGGGCGTCCGATCAATCAGTCGGCGAACTTGAGACCGCGTGGTCGGCGCCGTCTGCCCCTCCCCTTCTGGAAGCGGCCTGGCCGGAAGTGCGAACGTGACGAGCCGCGAGTGGCCTGGTGGTTTAGCGTGTTAGGATCATCATCGAAATGTGGGTGTTCGATTCCCAGCGCAGGAAGCTTTCACTGGCCCTGCTGTCCAGCAGGGGATGTGAGGCTACTCGTCTTTAGCAGCGACATGCGTCGAGCCATACCATCGCAAACATTATCGATGTGCGAAAGCTCACTTCACTTGACCCCCCCCCCCCCGTATAGGCCCGCGAGGAACCTGGATCGGGAGGAACGGGTCATGGTCCCTGGGGTCGCTGTGAACAAGAGAACGGTGTTCCTCAAGGGAGCGTCCTGAGCGTAACCCTGTTTGCGCTGATGATCGATGATATCGCCGACTGTCTGCCACCTGCCATCAGTCGGTCATTGTTTGTGGACGACTTTGCCACCTGGTGTGCAGCATCCACAACGACGTCTGCTGAGAGGCAGCTTCAGTTATGCCTGATTCGACTAACTGAGTGGAGCCTTAAGAAGGGCTTCAAATTTTCGACCACCAAGACTAAGTGCGTGCACTTCTGCTCACGGATTAGAGGCTGTAGAGACCCGGAGTTTCGACTGTATAATGCCACTATCCCAGTTTGTAGCGACATTTGTTTCCTGGGCCTCACGTTTGACCGTCGGCTCACGTTTAAGCAACACTTTAGGATGGTTAAGATTAAGTGTCTCAAGCGCATGAACCTCATGAAAGTAATGTGTCGTATGACCTTTAGGGCCGATAGAAGCACCCTGTTGAACCTGTATAGGGCCCTAATTCGATCAGTCATCGATTATGCTAGTCCTGTCTACGATAGTGCTCCTACATCTTCAAAGCAGGTTTTGGACACAATCCACCATACATGTGTTCGTATAGCCACTGGGGCGTTTCGTACGACCCGAACAAGAAATTTGCTGGTGGAAGCGAATGAACCGCCCTTGCCTCTTAGGAGACAACGACTTACTTTGAATTACGCTACAAAGGTTTCACAATTTCCGGATCACCCAGCCTTTAAGTTCATCTTCTCTCAGACGTTGATTCGTTCTTTCTTGAGGGGGCGGCCCACGTCAGCGCGGCCGATGTGCCTGCGCGTCCGGGACTGCCTGGACGAGGCGGATATTACGCTGGATGACATTGCCCCGCACACTCTTCGGGACCCAGCTCCGTGGAGACGTCTGAGTATTAAGTATGATTTGGGACTCTGTCAGCATCTTAAAAATGGCACTTCACCACGAGAGTTCCTCACGTATTCGTTGGAACAGATCTCACAATACGCGAATTCATTACAAATATTTACCGATGGGTCCAAGGGCTCAACGGGAACGGGTTGCGCATTTGTTTGCGGTGACCATACCGTAGGTCTATGCCTCCCGCGGCACCTTTCAGTTTTTTCCTCAGAACTGTTTGCCATTTTAGCAGCGCTTCAGTACGTTGCTTGTCGTCCTGAAAGGGATATAGTCATTTTGACCGACTCGCGTAGTGCATTTTTATCATTAGACCCGACGGCGATGTCGCGTGACCACTCATTTTTGACTCGCTCAATTTGGGAGGAATTGGAATGGCTGGACAGCACTTCCTGTCGTATCACATTTATGTGGATCCCCAGCCACATGGGAATAATGGGGAATGAAAAAGCCGACGCCGCAGCGAAAGCTGCGGCATATGAGAGAAACCCAATACCAATTTATGTACCCGCTCGAGATCTGAAGTCAGTCATTTTCAAATACGTTCGCAATACGTGGCAGCACGTGTTCGACCAACATCTCCACGCTTTCAGGGAAATCAAGCCCCAACTGGGTGATTGGGAATCCTCCCATCGCCGAAGCCGCTTCCAGGAAGTCGCCCTTTGTAGGCTTCGGTTGGGTCATACATACGCCACACACTCGTTTTACTTGACGCGTAGGGATGTGCCGCGGCGTGATGGATGCGGGGACCGGTTGTCTGTGGAACATGTCCTCGTCTCATGTCGACGCCTTGAGACGGAGAGGCGACGATTTTTTCCTCCAGCGCCCCTTCATCGGTTACTCGGTCGAGACCCATGTGGATATGGAGATATACTTGGAGATATACTCGCATTTTTAGCACACATTGACTTTGACGTTATTTTCACTCACCCCTCAGTGGAAGTGCGCCAGTGGTGCTACCTGTTGTCAGTTGACAACATACTTATCGTGTCGTCGCAGAGGTAGATAACCGTCATCGAGTGGGCGCAAAATGGCCCCGATGCCGACGCGCCCTTAAAACACAAATCACCACCACCACCCTGAGGTCGTGGCGGGGCTTAAATTGTCTTCACCGAGCTCCATTTTCAGGTGGCAGTTGTCGCATTGAAGACTCCCCCACTTCAGGGTTCAGCGTTGGAGTCTCCCCTGGAAACCCAGCATGCTTTGTGAAGCCATGCGTCGATTTGTTCTGGTCGGTCATGGCGCAGCACACCATCGCCTGTCTGCGTGCCTTGCTGTCGAGTCGTGGTGCATACACGCTTTGTGGCTCCCCGGCAGAGGCCACTGTGATCCCCACCGTTGGTCCGCGCCGAAGTACCGCGTCTCCTGGGAGAGAGCCTCTCAGCAGCCATTTCCGTGACGGAGCGCTGGTCGCCCACGGTGACTTGGGTCCCCTCCCCCGGAGAGGGCACAGCTTCTCCCGGCGGCCGGCCGCCAGCAAATCCCGGCAAGGTGCAATCGGCAGGAGTGGCGCAGATCTGCGGTCATTTGTGAAGTATTGATCTGCCACGCCGGCGCCGGAGACTGGCCGCTGTACACGTACTATGTCACCATTCGCCCGGTGCCGCCGTCGCTAGGGTCGGCCCGGTACATAGAAACGGCGCGGCGGCGGCGGCCGGCGCCGCCCGGCTTCGCCAGTCGTCTGCGCGCCGCCACGGACGGACCGGCGGCAGCGCCGACGCGCTCCTTGGCTCACGTGACAGCCGCGGCAGTGACGTCACGCTCGACCCCGCCGCCCCCTGCTCGGGTGAGTCGCTACCCCGCCACCGGGGGTAAGACGGGAGGGGCTGGAACTGACGCGGAAACCCACGTCGTGCCCTCGTGTCTGGACGCCGCTATCGCGACCAATTGCACCCAGAGTGCCCTGTGTGCAATGCGAGGATTGCAAAGCGCCCAAAATACCTGCACTCCAATTTACTTCGGTGAGTGCTTAAGTGGTATGACTCCAATCACTTTCCAAGTCCCCTTGCGGCTCGCTGGGGCTGTAGGATAAGCACCGCGGGGCGCAAAGGACGGCGAAGCATGTAACAGGCGGCCCCAAACCCCGCACCGGCACATCGAGGCTCGAAGCCCGGCCGCCGGCCCCAAACCCCGCACCGGCACATCGAGGCCCGAGGCCCGGCCGCCGGCCCCAAACCCCGCACCGGCACATCGAGGCTCGAGGCCCGGCCGCCGGCCACACTAGATGACGTGTAGATTGCCTACGTAACGACAGTAAGTCTTTTCGTGGCGCTGTGCGAATCAGGTGCGAGCATGCCGTCGTCACGCAGATCTTACGTGAACGTAAGCGAGCACAGCCTGTCATCTTTGGGAACCCATACGGGCAGAACTTCTCAATGTACCGGAGTATGCACATTTCGTGAGTCAGGCAGGCGGAGGAACAAGGCCGCACAGCGTCTGCACACGCCTGCAGACAATACTGCCGCAATCAGGGCTAAATAAGCAATAGCTGCAGTACTGGCTGCTTTTGGATTGTCAAGTCTTGACATTCCAATCAACGAGGTGGATGAATTTAGAGTACCTGATATATTTGGTGACTGTGACCAAAGTGTCAGGGCAAAATGCTGATCTGTTGGATATATACCGTCACAATAAACTAGATTACACACAAAAGTTTCCACAGCCCGACCGGTCTTGGTTAAGATGTTGTGCGCAGCTTCTTGTGCTTAAGACTGGCTCAGATGTTGTGGACAGTTTCCTGTGCTTGAACTGGTTCAGATGTTGTACACAATTTCTTGCGCTTGAGACGGGCTCAGATGTTGAGTACAGCTTCTTGTGCTTGCGACTAGTTCCAGAAAAGGCGAGGTTGGCAGCTTTCTGGTCCGTTTTGGCGCACCTGTGTGTCGGCCTTTCTTAAAGGTCATTCAATGATTTGTAGATGATACGCCCGCATATGCCGTGGCACTTGCTTCATATCCCCACCCGCTTGCTGCCTGCTTAAAGTTTCACTGATTTGATTACGATACCTGGCATCAGCCCTAAAAAATACACATCCGATGACTGGAGAGTCCATGGTTTGCGCACGGCTATGGGTGGCAGTCTGCTCCCATCGACCCCCGACTGTGCCAGCTTCAGAACTAGTCACAGGTCACCGCGGTGCCTGGTCGCCGAGATCTGGAGCCGTTTCCGATCCTTCTTCTTCAGCGTGTTCGTGATTTGAAAATGTTGCCACATTGATCTAATGGGGAGATGAAACAGTGGTGCTACTGCGATGGTACAGAAGCACGCCCCCCGATTACATGGCCTGTATTAAAATGCTTTGAAAATGTGACAGCAGTCTTTGAGGAGATTTGACATCAGTGGTCGCGGAGAGATTACGCATTCCAAGGGGTCACTGGTCTGGCCCAGCCGGGTTGGGTAGCTGAAGCTGCAAAATTTCCGATAAGCGGACTAAAAAGCCCGGAAGGGCGGGTCTTGGTCGAGGGTGAGGCGATGGGGCGAGTTAGCTGTACCCGCTCGGTCCACCGTCTCGATCGAAGTAAGGCGAACACTCGTTACACTCTCATTAAAATCTAACTGCATGACCCACTTCATGGACAGCCTCAGCATTGCAGACGCATTGCGATGTGCGTGGTTGCAGTTAGTATAATATATGAGGTGATATATTATCTGTTATGTCGCACACAACTAGAACGGGAAACTCATTGTATGAAAGCTGGAAACTCCCTCACCTGTGAATAATACCTATATAATGTCATCGCCTTTCAAATGTTCATGAAACACTATCATGTAGCGTCGCCGACTGGTATCTGCTGCTACAGTCAAACACAGGAAGCGATTAAAGGGAATGTTATGCACTTGAAGATATTGAAGCAAGCATCAGATATTAGGGAACAAGCTAGTTGTTGTGTATTGGTGTAGTTTTAAGTGGAAAAACTGTTCCTGACAACACATTTTCTATTTAGTGAGCATGCTTCACAACATTTTGTCTGATTACGTTATGGAACGTTTGTACAACGCTGAGGTGCCGCCAAGCTGACCGTGCGAAATTACTGCTCAAACTATCACCTTTAGTACTTAATTCGCCGCGAGATTGCTGTGGCGGTGCTGGATGTGTTCGCTGAGACGAATGTCGTCATGTGCTCGTTTGTTGGGCCTGTCTGATAGTGCTATTGCGTATTCATCTATTCATCCGTGAGTTTAAGGTGCTCACTTATATTCGCATGTCCGGTTTTGGTGTTTTTCTTAAGTAATTCCATTACAGGTCTTACTTCCGTAATAACTAGCAACTATTTCCAACTTGAGTCGTGACTGAACCTTGCACAGGCTGCTCAAAAAAGTCTGAGAGCCAGTTGGCATTCACCACGTTAGAAAATCGTGCTCAGATGAGACGCCGGATCAGAGCGGCTTAAAGATACAATTTGTATTAGCCTTGGACGCCGCAGGGGTATGGGGTGGCAGGGTTTGAATGATGTGATTCAAAATGGCTATTTCGGTTCAACAACCCATACAAATGCTGAACAATTTCTTGGAGAAAATTTGAGCGCGTTTTTGGGAGTGCTGTACACGAGCCTGTCGAGTTGAAGCCATGCCGCACGAGAAAGCTATGTTTCCGCGGACCGAGGTAGGATTGATTTGGCTTGCAAAACTCCGCCAGCCGGTGCTCGCTTGCACTTTTCCATCCGAAATGGCTTCGCCGTCAAATTAATGACAGCCTGCTATCCACATGGGGAATCAAATATCGAAGGCACAGATATGACATGCAACGCAACCGGGCACAATATTCATTTAACACGCGCCCGGGTGGCCGGTTAAATCCCTTTCGCTCGGGTGGGGGGAAAGGGTCAATTTGACCCAATCACTCCTGAGATCTCTGAAAATAAGGTGCGCTGGCAATGTTTCCGCCGACCGAGGTGAGACTGGTTTGGCTTGCAAGGCTCCATCAGTAAGTGCTCGCCTGCACTTTGCCATCCGAAATAGTCTATCCATCAAATTAAAAACAGCCTGCTATCCACTTGAAGAATCAAATATGTAAGGCATAGATGCGGCATGTTAAGCATCTGGATTCAATATTCATTTAACACGCGCCCGGGTGGCCGGCTGGATATCTTTCGCTCGGGTGGGTGGGGGGAGCAGGCAATTTGACCCACCCACCCTTGAGATTTTGGAAACTAAATTTCGACACACCAGTCTCACAGGGTGGGGACGGCAAGCATGTGACTCACTTGTGTCACACATCACAATATGTGATGTTCCTATGTCATGACGTCGGGTTCAAATGAGGTCAAACAAGGTCAACTTCAGACTAGTGTCCAAAGTGTCCCTAGGCCTCCTCATGCAACCGCCCCGAGCCTAGACGCCCATTTTCGGTCAGGTCAATGCCCGGAGATCAGAAATAGGTAAATCGTATTCTGTTCAGGTCAGTGACCTTGTTTGAGTTTAGAAAGTGAATGTGATCAAAAACATCGGAGGTTTCTGCTAGTGTGTCATTCAAATAAGCGTCAGGGATTACGCTAGTCGGTATGGTGCTAAGAAACTGTTGAACTGGGTCATATTAGGTCAGGGACCTTGCTTGACCTTTGAAAACTCCATGCAACATGTCTATTGCGGCCTCTGCCACAAAAATAATAAGCACCGAACACTACCCCATGAAGAAAGTTTTCGAGTAAAAAAGCGGGTCAGTTTTGGCCTCTATATCTGGTCCTCCGTCAATGGAATTTGTTGCAATTTTAAGCTCAGTTACTGTATTGCCTAAAAAACCCATCTCGGAGATGTGAAGCCGTCTCTAACACTCCGGTGTCGCAACGGATTTAACCATTCCCAAGAAATGACCGTTGACAGTCATGGCTCAACTGTGACCTGCCACAGGTTAGCTGCCTTACAAGGTGCATCTAAGTTTGTGACACCGAGAGATCCGCTATTCAGTTGTCTGCAGCTATGCACAGTTTGGCGCGGCTACCCCAGGCCGTTCGGAAATGATTCTGGAAAAACCTACGGGAGTCAAATGTACCACCACCTCCACCCGAGCGCTTGTTAATGTATTGCCAATGTATCACTGAAGACGTCGGCACAAACGCCACTGCACCACAGTCACCCAAGTCAGCGAGATATTTAGCACCTCCAAGACTGCTCCGAGGCAGCGGTATTTAACACCTCCAAGACTGCTCCGAGGGAGCGGTATTTAACACCTCCAAGACTGCTCCGAGGCGGCGGTATTTGCAGCAGCACCAAGACACAAAGACATGCGGATCTTTGTTGCTGTACCCCTCGAAACTGTGCCGCTACCCGGTCGTCCGTCGCCGCGGGGCAACACTTGTTCCAGCGTGGGGTTCCATCGAATTAATTTGGGATCTAAAGACCACGATTCCCTCAAAGAGTTCCGTAGATATAAGTGCTTTTGGTGATCTAGATACAAGTTGCATCGGGTCCCATATTACGGCGTAAAGATGAAAATGGGAAGAGCCTGACCCAGGCACGTGAATTCTAAGAGAGAGATGGAAGACAAACCACATTTTGAGACATTTTTCCCCGCATCACCACAGGACTAATGTATCAGACTTTCATAAAAAGTGTATGTGTGTGGGAGGGGGGCGGGGGCCGGGTTGGCACTTGGAAGCCAGTGCAGTCCAAAGAGCTGCAAAACTTCAACCATGTCTACTGCAGCAGCCGAGTCTGAGCCACTCACCGGAAAAGCGTTGAATAACGTCATCACAGAGCCAGTCTTTCACCAGCGACACGCTGCGCAGCAGGTCCCGATAGCGGAAGAAGTCGCTGTAGCTGTCGCAGGTGACCAGAACGCCCTCGAAGCAGGAGATCATCCATTCGATGCGCCTGCGGGCCGAGCGGGGACGAGCGGCGTCAGTGGGTGCGAGAACAGGCCGCGAGTGCTCGTGAACACTGCGCGCCGCCGACAGTCGAAGCAACGCATAACGGCTTACCGTTGTCTGGTGTCCTCTTTTGAGTTTGATGGCAGGCTGCGTCTCATTAGTCGCACATTTCAGGAGGTGTGAATGATACCAGTGATACAAGATACCAGATACCAGTTCGGCTTTCGTAAGCTCACTTACACCTACACAAGCACGGGTGGACACATCTCCCCTTTATCTGACCCGGATCCGGATTCGTACTCGGACTCGAACTCATAGCCTTTTAGGACTCCAGGCCAGATGAATCCAATCATTTTACACATGAGGCGGACCCGGCCTCGCCGATTTAAGACTCGGTCTCGAACTAAAAAAATACAAAAAGCTGGCTTTGGTACTAAACTTTGACCCCCATTTAAGTTGCAGCGATGGTGAAAGGCAGCTGGCAGCATATTGGCGGGATTGCTGGCAACATTCCAGAAACAAAGCCCACGTCTACCATCAATCACTAACGCTTCGTAACAGCTATCACTGCACGCATAAATACTCGTATTGGTTGAGAACTGTGGTGAGCGATGGTGACCCAGCCGGACGGCAGGCATAAGACGACAGTGGGTTTGACGCTTGTTCGGGCTGAGCTAGGTCCTCATTCACTACGTCGCATTTTTGTCTTTGAAGATTTCCGCCCCGATCATCTGGCACCAAACTACGTCTGTCCTTAGCAAACCGACGGGTGGACGGATGGACCTGGGTTCAAGAGTTGATGACCCAGACATGGACCCAGACTGGAAACTGATAACCAAGAGTTCAAATTCGACTGACGGGTCAAAGGAAACCAATTTATTTCGATTTTCTGTGGGACTGAGAGCAGCGTTCAGTCGGACTCGAATTCGGGCTCTACATGGGTGGGCTCGGCACTGGAATTCGGACTGAGGACATCAGAACTCGGACACAGGCTCATATTTACAAACTGACACCCATGCCTGGCCAGAGGAATGCGCTATTTTAGGAGCTATGCCAATCCACAAATACCATGAGAACGGGGGCCTACGAGAAGGTTATGGGGCCTGGAAAAGACTGCCGCGAGACTTTTTACCTTGTAAGGATAAGTTGCTGAAGCGCATTCAGTTTTTCTGTTATCGATATCAAACTTTTTAAAGCATTTAGGGACATCCTTTAAGAAACCCAACTGTCAACTTTTGACATGATGACAGTCTCCACGGCATCACACACACGCACATACCACACTTTAGTCGTGGTCTAAGCACTTATCTAAGCATGACATCATGACATACCTCAAAGCATGGCAACATGGCACAGCTCAAAGAGATTCGAATTCCACACCCGACATCGCGTCTTAACGTTTGTAATGTAATTTTCTCTGACAAAAGATCGACGGCGAGGGTGGCCTACTCTCTGGCTCGCTAGAGTTTGTTAGCTCATGGCCAGGCTTAATCGCCCCGTCACAACTGCGCACCAAATACAGTACGAGAGGGCGCTCCGGTGAGAGAAGACTTTTGCTGAGATCAGGTTGATCTTGGCTGGAATTTGTGTTGAACTTGGCGTAAATATTTTCCCTTCCTCATGGCTCCGCACTAGCTGTCTATCTCCAGAACACAATAAGCCACTTGCTACGGTATTTGCGTAACGCAAAAAAACATGGCGACGACACATTCCTGACAATGTGTCACGTCCAAAGACAAAAGCCACGGGAAATAGCCGATCGTCCGCATTCAACTATCGTCCCTAATGCATCCGGGCAATTGCAGCCTGGAAAGAGCCGATTAATTTGCACCCATTTGCTGCGCATGGGGCGCCTCAGGTGGTGCAGGCTCGTGTCAACACCAATTTGACAAGTGAACGGCGAGGGAGGGCGCCGAGTGTCAGCGAGGCCGTGTTGATAGAGTGGGGGTCAATGGCTGGTCAATTTGGAGCATCGATGCCTGTTCGGCCCGCGGTATGTGTATACACAGGCACCTCAGGTTGGGGCGAAGGCGTGTCTCGTCGCATGTTTGGCACGAGCAGGAAACCAAACGCTCGGCAAGGCGTATGCTCCGGGGGCATAAGTCGGTTTGTGTGATGCATGCTGTGTGACTCACAAGGCGTGTGCTCCAGGGGCATAAGTCGGCTTGTGTGATGTATGCTGTGTGACTCACAAGGCGTATGCTCCGGGCCATAAGTCGGCTTGTGTGATGTATGCTGTGTGACTCACAAGGCGTATGCTCCGGGAGCATAAGTCCGCTTGTGTGATGTATGATGTGTGACTCACAAGGCGTATGCTCCGGGAGCATAAGTCCGCTTGTGTGATGTATGATGTGTGACTCACAAGGCGTATGCTCCGGGGGCATAAGTCGGTTTGTGTGATGTATGATGTGTGACTCACAAGGCGTATGCTCCGGGAGCATAAGTCCGCTTGTGTGATGTATGATGTGTGACTCACAAGGCGTATGCTCCGGGGGCATAAGTCGGCTTGTGTGATGTATGATGTGTGACTTACAAGGCGTATGCTCCGGGCCATAAGTCGGCTCGTGTGACGTATGATGTGTGACTCACAAGGCGTATGCTCCGGGAGCATAAGTCGGCTTGTGTGATGTATGATGTGTGACTAACAAGGCGTATGCTCCGGGGGCATAAGTCGGCATGTGTGATGTGTGATGTGTGACTCACGAGGCGTATGCTCCGGGGGCATAAGTCGGCTTGTGTGATGTATGATGTGTGACTCACAAGGCGTATGCTCCGGGCCATAAGTCGGCTTGTGTGATGTGTGATGTGTGACTCACAAGGCGTATGCTCTGGGCCATAAGTCGGCTTGTGTGATGTATGATGTGTGACTCACAAGGCGTATGCTCCAGGGGCATAAGTCGGCATGTGTGATGTGTGATGTGTGACTCACGAGGCGTATGCTCCGGGCCATAAGTCGGTTTGTGTGATGTATGCTGTGTGACTAACAAGGCGTATGCTCCGGGGGCATAAGTCGGCTTGTGTGATGTATGATGTGTGACTCACAAGGCGTATGCTCCGGGCCATAAGTCGGCTTGCGTGATGTGTGATGTGTGACTCACAAGGCGTATGCTCCGGGAGCATAAGTCGGCTTGTGTGATGTATGATGTGTGACTAACAAGGCGTATGCTCCGGGAGCATAAGTCGGCTTGTGTGATGTATGATGCGTGACTCACAAGGCGTATGCTCCGGGGGCATAAGTCGGCTTGTGTGATGTATGCTGTGTGACTCACAAGGCGTATGCTCCGGGCCATAAGTCGGCTTGTGTGATGTATGCTGTGTGACTCACAAGGCGTATGCTCCGGGCCATAAGTCGGCTTGTGTGATGTATGCTGTGTGACTCACAAGGCGTATGCTCCGGGCCATAAGTCGGCTTGTGTGATGTATGATGTGTGACTCACAAGGCGTATGCTCCGGGGGCATAAGTCGGCTTGTGTGATGTATGCTGTGTGACTCACAAGGCGTATGCTCCGGGCCATAAGTCGGCTTGTGTGATGTATGCTGTGTGACTCACAATGCGTATGCCCCGAGGGCATCAGTCGGTTTATGTGATGTATGATGTGTGACCCACAACCTGCGATGAGAGACCCACGGAGAGACAAAGGAGAGAGAGAAAGGGAGAGAGAGAGAGGGAGAGAGAGAGAGAGAGAGAGAGAGAGAGAGAGAGAGAGAGAGAGAGAGAGAGAGAGAGAGAGAGAGAGAGAGAGAGAGAGAGAGAGAGAGAGAGAGAGAGAGAGAGAGAGAGAGAGAGAGAGAGAGAGAGAGAGAGAGAGAGAGAGAGAGAGAGAGAGAGAGAGACAGGGAGAACGAAGAAGAGAGAAAGAAAGGTAAGGGCTTGGGTCTTGACATGGACGACCATATGGCGGGCGTCTCCCAGCCGCGCCCCGATCTTCGTTAGTGGGGGTACTCACCAGCATCTGCAAGATGTATCTGATGATGTCATATCGTTGTTGCTTTGCAGGGGTTTAGCCACTCTTCATGGGTTATTTTGAAAATTACTTCGGTATATTATGCCGCATCCCAAATAATATGTTATTGACATGAGAAAATAGCTGGTGTGCCCAAAAAATATGTTATTGACATGTACATGAACGTTGTAAGATAGCTCATATGCATAGCATCGTGTGTTCGTATAATCGAATGTGCGAACAAGCATGTGTTCATGCAAAGCAACAAAATTCTGGGTAAAAAAATAAATCAGTCTTCATACGCATAACTGTTGCGTATTGCGTATGTTACAAAGGTATTGTTTGTTCACTTCATGCTCCAATATCTGTGGACCGTTCCCAAACTTGGTAATGGACACGTCTTTTTGAAAGACCTCACGGACATCGGGCTATACTGCGGAATGAAGGGGCTCTGTCTCACCAATGCGGAAAGGCCTTGAAGATGCAAATACTCCCTCTTGCAATGCGACGGCTTTAAGTCACGACAGTGTGCGCGTTATGCGGCTGCGCAGCGGTAGGATCCTGGTCTCTCCCGCGTGCGGCGCGGCTCAGCAGTGTACGTGCCCGCAGCTGAGCTGAGCCTGGCCGGCTGCCAGTACGACGCACAGCAGTGTACGTGCCCGCAGCTGAGCCGAGCCTGGCCGGCTGCCGGTGCGGCGCACAGGAGTGCACGGGCCCGTCGGTGAGCCGAGCCTGGCCGACTGCCGGTGCGGCGCACAGCAGTGCACGGGCCCGCCGGTGAGCCGAGCCTGGCCGGCTGCCGGTGCGGCGCACAGCAGTGCACGGGCCCGCCGGTGAGCCGAGCCTGGCCGGCTGCCGATGCACGTGCCCGCCGGTGAGCCGAGCCTGGCCGGCTGCCGGTGCGGCGCACAGTAGTGCACGCGCCCGCAGGTGAGCCGAGCCTGGCCGGCTGCCGGTGCGGCGCACAGCAGTGCACGTGCCCGCCGGTGAGCCGAGCCTGGCCGGCTGCAGGTGTGGCACAGCGGTATCAGATGCCTGAGCCGTCCGCCGGTGCCGACCGACCTGGCACTCCATCTTCCCGACACCGGGACGAGCCAGGCCGGCGGGGAGTAGCCGGGTGGTCATCACGATCAGGTCACTGGCCAGGACTTCAGAGCAGCTGGAGCTCTGTCATCCAGGACGCCCAGGCTGAGCCATGCAGCAAGGTTGGGGACGTCGCGGCACGGATAGCAACTGCCGATGCAGGCAGGCCGGTGCGAGCCGACGGCCGGTCGGGCCTAGCCGGCATTACAGCCCACCCAGCTGCAGCCAGTCTTGGGATCAGCCTGCGCCCGGTGCGCGTGGGGGATCTGCGCCGAGTCAGAGCCGAGGGGAAGCTGATCCGCCTATCAGAAGCAGAAGGCACGCACGCCCCCGCCCCCCCCCCCCCCCCATGCTACCACGTAGAGGCAGACGGTGACTTGGAATGCTGCAAGCACAACGATCTCGATGCAACTGCAGGAGATCCAACACCATCCCCTAAAGCTTCCCCAACTCGTTGATCAGATCCTTGCCACATCTAGTAACAAATCATGATGTCCATTCTATCGAGCTTATCTCCAATAGTTTCGTGAGAGCCTTTTAGAACGTCCGTTCGCGAGGCTCTCCGCTATCGGAGGGAGAGGCTCCTCACAAGTCAGCGTCAGGCAACAGTGACGTCACTCTTGCTCCGATGATCGCCGTAAACGATTGGCTGTCTCAGTAGTGGTCTTTGCCGTCCAGTGGTCGACCTAGGCTGGCTGCACTGAGATCTTTGTGGTGTTCTCACGAATAGGATACTACTTCTTCCACAGCAAGATGTTTGTGAAGGTGGACCCGTACACGAAGGATGCGTCCAGGAGTCCTTGTCGCGGGCGCTCTATGCGCAGGAGCAGCTACACGGGACCTTGCACTGGCCTTGTTGTTTTCTGTGGTTCCCTCACGTTACATTTTGGTGGAATACAGCAAACAAGACGAAATTGGCGCCGTCGATCTGCAGTGTTCTCCCCGAGGGCCGGACCCATGCATTCACTTAAAGAAGGGCATGTTGGACGGTGCTCCTCCCCATTAGTGCATCTGTGCAGGCCAGTGATGTTTCTGTTCTCAAATCCTGTCCCACAGGCGTTAAGTCCGGCCAATCCGAATGGCCAGCACATCCGGCCAATCAGGTACCAGGCGATCGGGTGCGGGTCACTGACCCCGCTCTGGCCGACGTCGCAGGAAGGAATCGGGTGACGTCAGAAAATCACGCCGCTCAACGCTTGCCTGCAGCCGGAGCAGCAGCCTGGACAAGCGCGCAGAGATAGTGTTCTTCGACGGAGACAACAGCCAAAGCAAAGCGCAACTTTGCCATAAACATCGGTGTCGGGACAGTCCCTCAAAGTTGCTGGATGGCCACGCTGGCAGGAAATGACCTGTGGATTACTCGGCGGTTCGTAACTGTACGCCCGCTGCCCCCGCAATCCTCCACGCCGGTCATTACGGCGTCGATACGCCCGGTGGGGAAGTGTGTGGGAATGCCTGAACCGAGTCAACATAACGGGCATGCATGTGGAGGCAGGCGCGACTGGAAGTGCCATATCAACACTTCTAGGGCGCATCACTAGGGCGTATCAGAGACGTAGCCTTGTTCCGAGTCCGAGGTGCCGCGAGGTCACTGACCTCCCCTCCGCGCTACCGCGCCATCAGCTGATGTAGTGGTGGCGAGGAAATGATCTCATTAAAAGACTCGGGATCGAGCTGGGAGTCTATGGGTCACGCACTGGTGGTCGGTGCTTGACGAGCAGTAAAGCTCGCGGCCTTTGGCGCCGGTCTGTCGCTAGAGTCTCTGCAGCTCTTACCTTGCGGTACCGAGCGGCAGGCAGTCAGTCGGTCTGGGGGCCCGGCAACATTAAGTGAGGCTCCTTGACAGATACCAGGAGGACTTGCGCGAGCGGCTCTTTCCACGGATAAACCGGGAGTTCCCTTGGGACTGTATAATCGATTCATGTGCGATCATCGCGCGAGGATCTGCTCCTGGACAGATTTCGCATGAGGTGCCGTGTGGAACGCTTCGCGTGCACTGAGAGAAGGCGAGCCGCCCGACGGCAGTGCATTCCACGCAACGCAATCTAGTCAAATATTCTATCCGAGCTGGCCTCTGGACTGCCGCATTGTGGGTAGCCGTGAGTGGAAGCAGACAAAGAAGGCACCACTCGATCGGCGTAGGATCGCACTGTTTCTGTGCCTCACACTCCACGCCCAATGCCAGCGAGGAGAACAACCGGAACTGACACGGGTTACCAGGCGTGTCAGCCCGTCAAAATGGCGTTCCATTCAGCGCCCCCGACTGACGCGTTTGATTGCACCCTCTTCAGGTAAAGCTGCGCATATTGGCGCGGGCGTTGTATATGCTTTTCATTTGGGCTAGACCGAGCTTCTGAATGCGTTGTTGGATTTACCTGCAGCTTTCTGCGCCTCGATGTATGGGGTAAGCCATTGAGTACGCAGCCATGCGGCTCTGGGGCAAAATTAGGCCCAGAGCCGTATGATTCAGACCGGTTTCATACCGGCCGGACCGGCCTGTCACGGTATAAGGACGGCACACATTCGCCATTCGGTCGGTGTTGGCCCGGAGAGGGACGGCATGGGCTGCTTTCTGCAGCACCGGACAGACCGGACGGACCGGACCCCTAAAACCAACACCGGACCGACGCTCCGTAGGCCGAATGGCGGGGCGGCGGAGGCGGCGCCGCTAAACAGGCAGCCTGACAGAACTGACGGCCGTCCCGGGCCCGCTGGGTTGAGCCCGACCTCAGCCAGCGCCAGGGCGTCACGCCTGATTTGGCCGCGTGCATAGGTCCGCTTGAGTAGCTCTAGGGCAATGCATTCGAGACTGACGGCACCTGGCGGTGGACTTGGTGGCGTATCAAAGAGCCTGCGTAGCATTCAAAAGCCTGCGTTGAATCCAGAAGCCTGCGTCGTAAGCCGTTCCAATTTAGATTCCACACAGCCACGTGAACAATGGGCAGCAATTAAGCCTCTAGCCAAACCTGGCGTTAACTGGATGACATTAGAAGCATTTGGCTTTCACCATGAGCTGCATGTCTGAATGCAAGCTGTGGAACGATGCCTTGACTTCAAGCGCCTTTTGAGACACTTACTGACTGGATATTTCACATCGTTAGCCAAAAATACTGTCAGCATGGACGTGTTGTCCGACCAAAACGCCTTTGACTTTCTCGGGGAAATCTTGAGGATCGAAGAGTCGGTCAGTAACTGGACGCCGCTGCAACACGGCCTTGGGCGGTGGGAGGCGGCATAACACGGCTCGGCCTGCCTCGCCCTGCCTGTACACTGCGCAGGCTGGGGGAGTGGGGGGGGGGGGGGCAAACCTCTGGCCACCAGGGGCACCGCCGGTGCGAACAGGCTTCACGGGGGAAAATCTGCATTGTGTACAAACTTGCATGGCGTGGGTTGGGTATTGCATTTGGCGAGTGATAAAAAGTCATGGAAATCGTTCCTGCATTTTACGTAAGGAAGAGTAGAGTTGTATCAGTGTTTACTCTCAGTTTCCTCCTGATATAACTAGTGAGGATAGGACTAAAATTATTACATCTACAGATAGCCATTACCTTCAGCCACACATATAGCGGGAAAGTTTCGAAGAGCACGCCTTTTTGGAAAATGAGTTGTGAATTGATCTCCTTTCAAATGAGACAACCGCCACACCCCTGGGGTAAATTGCATCATTTGCTGGCAGAAGTCATGCTTATTTGTCGTTGTTTTTTGTCATAGGGTAAGTCGCATATCAGCAAGCCGAGTTCGTTACATGTAGACCAAATGCGCTCGTCTGTAGTACTTCGTAATTTGTCGTGATTGCGACATGCCAAATTTGTACCCTATTTGTCGATCAGTGTTTAATATACGACCACTGCAACATTGGTTTTGGCTGCTCAGGTACAAATCATGGGTCTACATAGATCATTCAAATGTCGGCTTGTTTTCTGGATGACAATAAGTACTGGCAATCATGTCATAGAATTATTGACAGTATGTTAGTCAGTGGCATACGGTCGGTGCATTATATAACTGATACAACATGCCCCATGTACAGCTGATACAACATGCATCGTCCGACATCTTGGAAGAAAGGTCACGCGACCCGAAATTCTTGGTTGCATACGTCAGATGTTTTGCAACATGTACGACACTTGTACTTCCCGCCCACTCAGAACATAACATTCAGATTGGCCTAGTTATGCTGTAGCCCTAGAGCACACACTTGCAGCGATCACTATGGTTTTCAACGACACGCAAAAAAATGTTTGTCACTCTCATTCCAATGTGCGTGCACTTATGCGGTCGACAACATACCGAAAGGTATAGGGAGCTGTTGTGTGTCAGCTAAGTGAGCCAAGACTGCCGTCCATCGATGGATTCGGAATAATGCACACGGATGCTTCTTAGACGTGACACAATTCACCCCACTCTCCCCTATGTAAGTCCCGACAATCATCAGGAAGCTAACTGGGAAATGATTGCAGAGTCGTGTATAAAATGGAGGAAAGCCGGTCGTATAATAGCTGGGGAGATGTTGCATATGCTGGAAAGTTAGTCGGCGATGTCTGTGAGGGACTAATGGTGGACAGAGAATGAAGCGGGAATGAGGAGTAATTACACGGTTGGTCGGAAATTGCGTTTTTTTTGCCTTGCAACGTTTAATGTCTACAGGCACAGTTGAGGTAATATTGATGCATAGACATGACATACTTGCAATTCTCGGCCATCTCTGGTCCGTCCAGGATGGGACGGTCGCCGAAGTTCGAGCCGCCGCCGCCAGGGCGTCGCCTGTTGCCCCTGTTGATGTTGGATAGGCCTCGCCTTTCGCCATCAGTGCGTGGGTATACTATGGCCTCGATCGACTGCAGGGAAATTCAGCGGTTAACTTTGACAGGCTACTCGTTACCTGGATGGATTCCGTGCGAAAACATCAAAGGGAATGTCTTACAATATTGATGACAGCGCAAACATACATCGGCAGTTGTATGAATAGCGGCGATGCATACCAAATGTGCAATTGAGATCTGATCGGGCGAACATATTTCAGCAGTAAATTAAAAAGTGGAAGGATATCAGCGTTAATAACATGCATTGAGCGTGGAGCATTGGTAAACAACAAGCAACTCATTCATAATGCAAAGATGTTGCCAACGACTATGCACGCAAACACCCAAAATGATAACGTACAATGGCAGAAAAAGGTCAGTGTCAATCGGAGAAATCATATAACCAAAGAGTTGCGGAGGCTAAGCTGAAGGAACGGACTTGACACGTTTGGAACGGTCTATAAGGTTGCAAATTTGATTTTATTCAAACCCACGACCCTAGTCCGCTCAGGCTGCCACCTAGTTCCGCCTGGGTATCGACATGGGCGCCGGTGGTACGACGCACGCTGTCCGACTTACGATAAAGTCTCTCTCCAGGTATGTGTGTAGACAGTGCGCCACCTCTTTGTTATCTTTGTTACACGCCGTCGCCGATAGTACGAGACCTGCCAGCAGGGGAAGCGCACGGGACAACGCGTCATGGGCACTGCCAGTGCAGGCGCAGTCGGGGAAGTCGCACCGTCAGATGCCTCCGCAGGCGGGGAGGTCATGCCGTCAGGCGCCTCCGCAGGCGGGGAAGTCACACCGTCAGATGCCTCCGCAGTCGGGGAAGTCGCACCGTCAGATGCCTCCGCAGGCGGGGAAGTCACACCGTCAGATGCCTCCGCAGGCGGGAGGTCATGCCGTCAGGTGCCTCCGCAGTCGGGGAAGTCGCACCGTCAGATGCCTCCGCAGGCGGGAGGTCATGCCGTCAGGTGCCTCCGCAGGCGGGGAGGTCACAGGACCAGGCCAATCGGGAGGCCAGCACCTCACACAATGCAGGCACAAGTCACGGCAATGGGTAAGGCCCACGCCTGTGCTTTTGAACGGGTCACCGGGCATTTGATTGGACATGATATTGTTATCGATCAGACAGACACCTGAAAGCAGGCCTACGAAACGCATTATGTTCGCAGACCAGACCTGTCCTGCGTTCCGGTCTCGTGCAGTCCACTTCGACTCCGACGCAAAGTGTACAGGGTTGGGTCTGACTCATGGGTGTCGATTTTTCGAACCGGTTGAAGGGGGGCAGAGTCGCAGGAGTCGTGAAAAGAGGCAGGTGCAAAACACCTCGCGGATTTCATCCTTTTCTGTTCTATCTATCTTTAACCATATATATATATATATATATATATATATATATATATATATATATGTGTGGTATGGAGCATTTTCGCAACAGGTTTTCTGGTTTTCACCGCTGGTTGCATACTACAGGAAAATCGGTGTTAATGACCTTTTTGGTAGTTAATTCGAGGCTTCGTATGGTGGGTGTCCTTTTCGGTAACTCAATATAGGATGTTGTCGAAGCTAATCTTTTCGTCAATGTTTCGATCAGTTCACACACGTAGGCATATATAAAAGTTTGGTTTTCTTCGCATCCGTACAAAATAAACGCTTAAGGCATTTACAAAATAGCATTGGCATGCTGCATGATTTAAGTCAAGGCATCTTCTGCACAGCGGAAACTTCTTACATTTTCGCCATATCAAATGGCATATATACATAATGGCATATACATATACATATGCCATATACATATGCCATATACAGACATAATGGCATATATCAAATGGTGGTAGGGGTAGGGGAAGGTCTGTCTCACTAGTCGCATGTTGCACGCTGGTAGTTACGTGAGTAATTAGTTTTTTACGTTGATGATGGATGCCGTGGCTCTGATGTGCAATGCTTCAGTTGTGGTGAGGCGTCTATGGCATGTGGCTTGCACCATTTGTAGTGGTGTTCTTGACTAACCCAGTCCTGGTGAGTGTGGTGCTGGTGGTGCGCGTTCGTGCAAGACAGCAGTACTTAAATAGATAACAGCAGCACATACACACCCGATCATTAAACCGGCTGGACTGAAAAGGAAACGACTGAATAGGGAAACAACTAAATAGGAAAGAACTAAATAAGGAACGACTGAATAACTGACAACTGAATAGGAAACAAATGAATGGGGAAACCACATCTCCACTCAACAACGTGTCCTAGCTTTCCCTCATCAGGAGATGTTGTCGTCGGTCGTCATGATTTTGTTTGGCGTCGGTGGCACGTGTCCACTTTCTGGTTATCGACTTACAGCCAATGCAGCAGATGAGGCCGGTGTCACGTGGCTTTAATGTTGTTTCACGTGTACAGCTTCGGAATGCGGAGTGTTAGTCGGTGTGTGCCACTGTTCGAAGCTGCCACGGAGGCCTCTGGCCGCAAGGTGGCCTGCAAGCTGTAAAGCAACACTGGAGTCTCACCGCTATCTGTTCAGTCGGCGAGTGTTGATCGTCTAGCTTTTGAAATCGTTGCATTGACAATCTACGTCGAAGTGGAGGTTGGCACATGTCAGTGGTGTTTCCCAACGTAAACGGCTGGTAGATTCAACACGTTATGGTGTGCTCATTATGTGACCTTTTTTACCGGCGATTCACCATTAAGATCTAGCCTTGTTGGTTTCCAAAACCTTGGGTAGGACGTCGAGGCATAGTAGCGCAAATTATTACAGGCTGTAGTTCAAACGTCGCTGAATAATCCCCTGCAACAAAACTAGACCAGAGCCCACGAGACATGAGTTTCGTAATGCTTATCATGCAGCATGCAGAAAGAACAGAAAATAATCAAATAAATACGGCAAAAACGCAGGATATAAAATTAGCTAGCGTAACCAGCTGTACATAACTGAACAACTGGACAGGACTTCGCCTTTTTCATTGTCTACGTTCTTTTTATCTGTTGAACATCTCTTTGAAACTTCATTGAAAATTGGTATAATTTTAAGCTCCAAATTTAAATGTTGTATTTACACTTCATCTCCAGGACGCCGGGGACGCCAAACTCACCGTTGGCGGCCAGTTGGACTTTTTTTTGGGGGGGGGGGGGGCAGCGGCCCACCCAAAAGAATGCAGATCGGCACCCGTAGTCTGACTGTCTCCAAGTACAGAAATTCTTGACTGTACGTACAACGGCACAGTGTTGGGTCGACTCTAAGTCCGACTCCAGGAGAACATTGCCCGAGTTGAGAACCGCCTCCGATGGATTCGATTCACGTGGCAAGAGTCCACCTGGCAAACCACGTTTGCACACAAGTAATGTCCAGCGAGTTTGCCTTAATTGCCGCGTTTTTGTGAGAGCCGTAAAATAAGATCGGCTGTTCGGCCTATGACTCGTATTTGAGACGACCAATCCACGATTCTAGCCAGTATATCTACCGAGCTCCTACTCTAAATCCCACGAATTATCAAATAAATCGATTCCACCCTGAGTCAGAAAATTTGTTATTGATTCCTGGGTCGACTCCAACTCTACCGGAATTCAAACACAACTTTGCAAGCTTGTCAATTCCTGGTAGAACAATCAGCTGTATCGATGCTCTGATCTACGATCTACGTTACCGTTGCATATCAGTTGCGTGCACGTCAAACGTCCTAAGCCAAAGGTGGAACCTCACTGTGTGTTGGTTGTTGTTTGTTTACCTCAATTAAGACTGCTATGGGTAAATTGAAAAGCGTAGGCTCCCATTAGAAGACGTAAAGCTGAAGGCATGAATCAATAAATTTCGCCATCCGACTTCATTACAACTTAACATGACATGGAGGGACACTGCATCGACTCTCACTCCGACCTTGTTAATATAACCCATTACATTGCAAATGAGCTCGACTATTTCAACGAAACGTCACCCGCCCCGTCCTCCGCCGTATTCCACCCCCCTGTGACGTGGCGTACCCTCTGACCGCGTCCAGCCTATGGCGTGGCGTTTCTTCTGACCTCGTCCAGCCTGAGGCGTGGCGTGTCCTCTGACCACGTCCAGCCTGAGACGTGGCGTGTCCTCTGACCGCGTCTAGCCTGTGGCGTGGCGTGCCCTCTGACCGTATCCAGCCTGAGGCGTGGCGTGTCCGCTGGCTGTGTCCAATCTATTCCATGCCTGATTTAGCAGCGGACTCGCACGTCCGCTGATCGTATCCACCCGGTCCCATATCCGTCCGGGAACGCCTTCCACGTCTACATTCGCGCGACGCACGCACGTCACAGGCCGCAGCCCAAGGGCCGCGACAAGGGCTACTTTTGAGGCTCGCCCGGCCACCCGAACCGTCTGGTCTGGAGGTGGAGCGGCCCTTACCGCCGTCGGACCAGCGGCCGTCGGCGCGGCCCACGCTCCGGCCGCAGCGCCGCTGGTCTGGAGGTGGAGCGGCCCTTACCGCCGTCGGACCAGCGGCCGTCGGCGCGGCCCACGCCCCGGCCGCAGCGCCGCCGGTCTGACGTCTGTTTATCCGACATGGTGACCTCTCGTGGCGCAAATGCACGCCCAGAAGCCCATATTAGGGATCCGTAGCAGCAGCTTACCACAATCATAAATAAGCGTAAAGCTCACGGTGGTAGTTCCATAACTATCATGACGAGCCATAATCGTTAAACTCAACCTGATGATGTCATAATAGCCATGGCGAGCCACGAGCATGGCGCAGTGACAGCTGTGGACAGCAGCAGTTGCGGTTGTTCGCGACTTTGGACGGCAGCGCGAGTATCGCGTTGTTTTAAAAGAAAGATCAATAACCGCTCTTGCTCCCTTGCACAATTTCTCGGCAGTCCTAGCGTAACCCATCGGAGTGTAAAAGAGAATCCCTACGCTGGCTGAGTCACGCACGGCGCGATTATTAGAACTGCGGGTCCCTGGGAGCAGACAGTAAACACACGGCAGCGTCGCCGGCGGCGCGGTCGGTACACAGGGCTAGGAAGGTGCGCTGGTCTGGAGCCACGGCCGGTGCACTGGACTCGAGGAAACGTCGATGCTTCGTGGACCGCGCGCTGTATACACTGCGCGACGCGCGCGAGCGAGTTAATGCGCTCACCCATACAGAGGCACAAAACAGGGGTGACACACTTATCCGCACCCATCCCTTAGCAAATGTAGGACTCGCTTGCCCGGGAAAATGAAATAGAGCGCTCGAAGTTCGTCTGATCTGGCTTTACTCACTATCGTATACCGAAGCATAACCTTAGGAGACCCCCAACCAAAGACAAGAAAACGTGGGAAATGGTAGCTGTAGGTGCTGATCCACAGAAGAGACCCATTTAAATGCTCCCGTCAGTGCCCCACATCCCCTTCGAGATCGGCTCTCCTGGCAGAAAGTCTGCACTCGCGCCTGCCCCCGCCCGAGCGAGCTTTGGAGACGCAGTGGAGCGTCCGATGCTGTCGTCATGGTAAACTAGGCCGTGCGGCGTGACGCCGGCGTCGGACCACTCACCGGCCAACAGCAGGGGCCGCAGCAGTCGACTGGCAGCTGCCATGACTGACGCGCGGGGCGCCACCCGGCTGGCGGGGCGACGATGTTTGGCTGCTCTCCCGGGGCGCTTCGCCGCTGCCCCTGGATGCTTCGCCGCTGCCCCTGGATGCCTCGCCGCTGCCCTGGATGCCTCGCCGCTGCCGCTGGATGCCTCGCCGCTGCCGCTGGATGCCTCGCCGCTGCCCCTGGATGCCTCGCCGCTGCCCCTGGATGCCTCGCTGCTGCCCCTGGATGCCTCGCTGCTGCCCTGGATGCTTTGTTGCGACTTTGGAGGTCGTTCGCTACTACTCCGTGACGCCTTGCCGCTATGTCCGGCTTGAATTGATGTCCGGAGCGGCCGTCAGTCGCGCTTGAAGCCCGGGGTTACTCCCGCAGCAGGGCCACCCCAAACACGGCTGCGGTCGTCACTAATCACAACTGTTATCAACAGTCACCACACCGCTATAACCAAACATCACCGGCCTCCACCAGTCCCCGCTGCTTACAAACTCTCTTGACCAGGAAACGGCGGGACCGCAGATAACTCCGGCGAACTGGGCAACTTCCGCGGCGCCGGATCGTGGGCGCGACCGACACCCAGCACTGCCAGTGGACAAGGGCACCCGGCGCGCAGGGCCAACGAATGGCCGATTCCACGGAGCGAGCGCACCGCGAGCCGCACCGAGCGCACGGGCCCCGCGCCGCACACAGACAGAGGAGAGACCCTCGGGAGGACGGTGGCGCCCTCTCGCGGCTGCACGGGTCCGCTTCTGCAGAACGGCCGCGGCCGGCGGCGCCCGGATGTCCGCTGGGACTCTCAGGCGGTCTGGTCGGGTCAGATTCTTTGTCCGGCCGGATCTCGCCTGAAATGCGGCGGAAGTGGGCGTCAGACGCGGCGACCAGTCACCGATCGCGATGTGTACAGCTTTGTTCCCCTTTGCTGGTACTTCGCCCCACGAAGCTCTCCCGCCTCCAGAGTCCAGCAGAGTCCGAATAACCAGAAAAGCTGCAAGTTTTTCACCATCGCTGCAAAGGGCTCGTTAGTTGAGGCGATTTCGATTACACACCACACCTCAATGACTTGCATGACGCCCGGCTTCTGCTCAGATGTGCAGCATTGCTGCCGCATGTGTCAGAATTTGCCTATTTACTCGGCGTACGGGCACATGCGTGCCACTGCAAGAACAGCCTGTTCCACGCGTCATCCACAAGTGGTTCTGCGTAGCTCTACCTGGCTTTGATCTAACCCGGCCGGATTTGGCGGCTTGCCAAAGTAGTCAGTCGCGCCAAAAGTCCTCGGGGCTGTGACGTCAGCATCGCGCGGTGCGCGTCAACGGGGGTGCGTCTACCGGATTAATTTTTAAGATCAGCGACGTCAAGCCCGGGACGAATCAGGCCGAGAGGCGAGAGCTTCAGCCCGCCAAAGCCGCTCGATCCTGAGCCTGAGGCTGCCGGAATGCGGGATGTTATGACGCAGATTGCATACTTCGTGAGCAGTTACCGGTGAGGTGCCGCGACGTTCCGCCGCCCGCCCACGTATTTGGGTACGGGGCCACAGCATGCCATGTGGGCCGTTTTCGTCACTGACACGGCACATTCCTGCCACATGCCATCGCCGCGTGATGCGACTGCAGTCCATCGGGGAGCCGATGGCAATGACCCACATGACATTTTGCCAGGAAGAGTGGGTGGAAATGGCTCATGTTTCGGTCTTCATGTCAGTGCCGCAGCTGAGTGGATTGCCGATGTTTTCCGTGACTTTTAGAGGGAAGACATGCGTCTGGGACCTCGGCGAAGAATTCGGATCATTATGATGCCCGACAGCCGGTGCCGAGGGTTCTTTAGCCCGATATATTTGCACTTCCTTGGAGTGTTCAGGTGCACGAGTAAGGAATAAAGCATGGCATGAGCCTCGGGCATGGGAGCGCTAGCATAAGTCATGTGCACTCAAATGCAGAGGAATATGCCAAACGAAATGAGATTAATTAAGTGAAACAACTGAGCACTTAAATAGCTACGGCAAGAAAAACGTAATAAAGCAGTAGGCTGAAGCATTCGCAATGCTTGACATCGCACCGATTCCAGATTCGTTCGAGTCAGGTGTACCCCAGACAGCCCCGACAGCAGATTTAGGTCACTCGCGACTAACACAAAGGCTTACATAACCGGTATATACAAACACAGCCTTAAGCAGGCCACCAGCTGGCGATTCAGAACCAGCGCACGGCACGATGGGTGCAGATTCAAAACCCACTCACCGCACAACAGCTGAAGACTCAGACCCAGCCACAGCGCAGCTGTCAGAGACGCACCACAAACCTGGCTCAACAGCCCACGGTCATCGGCTGAAGGAACCGGAGGCCAAACCCCACCCCGGACCGGCGACTCCTCCGACACGGCCGCAGCGACGCCGGGGGCCGTGACGTCAGCAGGGACGCTGCGCGGACCGCCTGACTCACCCGTCGGTGGTTCGCTCCCACTGACTCAGAGGCCGGCGCGACGACGGCGGCACCACGCTCTCCTCTCGGTGGCCTCGGCGGCACTGGGAGGCGGCGGCGGCCGGCGGCGAAGCCCGGCTCGTGACGCGTGCCGCCGCCCGGCAGGGTCGAGGTCAGCTGCGGTGGAGGTGGCGCCGCCAGGTGGCGTCGGCAGCAGCGTGACGGGGTGGAGACTCCGGGACAGCCCGTGGCGCTGCGGTCGACGGTCTGTTTAGTCTGCGGCGTATCGATCTCCCGCATCATGGCGTGCCGTGAAATGGTTGGTATAATCAGGCCCAATTGGAACGGCTACGGTGTTCCTACCAAACCGCTTGAATCTAAAACGCATCCCACTAAACTAACCGCAGACCATACAAAATATACCTCGCTGCCAGTAGACCTGGTGCAGACCCCACCAAACCAGATGTGGACCTAGCAAGCAAGCCGAGAAAGCTGTCGGCGAGCACCGCTCCTCGGCCCCCGCTGCCAAGATCACCTGGCTTACAGGGCGACGCGGAGGGTGACTCGTGCCAAGACACACTCGCACTGCGCGCGCCGGGGACCGGACGAGACGCACCACACAAACACAGGAGACGGCTGGCGGAGACACCACTGGCACGTGACCTGGGCTCTGGGGTAGGGGCGGGGTAGTGCGTCCGGACCGGGCCAGAGAACGGCACCTGTTCAGGCGGTCTGCCGTCACTGTTCGGCCCCACGTGGTGTTCACTGCTTGCTGCTACGTGCGAGGGTGGTTACACGGTGTGTGATATGACCAGGCGCCAGCACATACCGTCATCACTCGGCTGCGATCATGGTTCGTCAATGTGCGCGACCACCAGATAAGATCCGAACAGCCAATTACCGCAAACGGCACAGTTACTCCGAGATGATCATTGACCGGATAGCTGTATGCTATTCATATGCATAAAAAAACATGTAAAAGGTAGCGTTTCCAGGATATGTACGCTTCCTGAATCAAATGCGTATATGCACGAGTACCGATTTGTATTCTTTTTGGCGGGCTATTGCCCCCAGATCCAATTTACCCCCATGTCCAACTTGCCTCCATGCCCAATTGTCCCCCCCCCCTTCCCCACTTACCCCCTTTTTCTGTTTGCCTGCATGCTGAATGTTTTTAACTGTGCGATTCATATCGTTCGTTGGCTCTGGTCTAGTTTTGTGCCATTATTGGAGTGTTTTGGCATTATGTATGAATGTTTCAAGCTGTACAAATTGCATTAAGCTGCGTGATCTTGTCACATCTTATCGGAAAATAAAAACAAATCGATCAAATATTTGCCACCAAAAAGGTGACCAAGTCATCAGCCTCTACATTCGGAAGCACCTTCGCAATGTGTCGACGTCCATTTCGACGTGAATATTCGGTGAAACGGCTGCAACAAGCCGACGATCGACATCAACCGACCAAACCGATAGCGGTAATCTCCCGACCGTGACCGCCAGCACTAGCCGTGCAGAACTGCCGAACGCGAGTGCTGCGTTGTAACCTGCACCCCGCCTTCCGGTAACAAGCCGGGATTTCCATGGCAGACATTATTGGTTGCGCAAATCAACTTACATCCGCTCCCGAAGTTGCACGCGTCCAACAACGTTTGAAGCTACATTACATTGACCCTTTGTCGATTTCCGAAACCTTGTTTCGGCGACCGACGCGAAATAAAATTTTGATGATGTTCATTGGCAGCATTTTTGGCCGAGACTGAGCGAGCAAATGCATTAGACAAGGGCTATAGTTTCCGTTTCTTTTGGGGAGGGAGATGCTTCAGCACCATAAGGTTGAAAGGACCTTGGGTCAAATCTGGGAAGCATCCAGTTTGTGTGCATTTGATACCAGGTTTTCGCCGCTGGGCCCCGCGAATCCTATTTTGCGAAACTACACTTTATGGTGGAGTCTTTACGACCGTGACACGCGACAGATTCGCCACCAGATTATACTCTACCATCAGGTCTGGGACTTACGGCTTGTTTCCTAAGCAGCGGCAAAGCCAAGATCCGCGATTTTCATTGGTGGGATCTTCAGTGAGGGGCCCCTGTGCCGGTCATGGGACCACAGTGCCTAACAAGGGTACTGCTGTATTGACAGGGAGTCCAGCGTCGGTCTGAGACGGTACTCGAGGGGCCCGCGGAGGAGCCGAAGTGCCCACCGGTACCGACGATCAAGTGAATGACTGGAGGGCACGGAGGGCCGGCTGTAGGCCACCTTGAGAACCACGATCCACGACCTCAAAAATCAGGCGGTCTCTGCCGCCCATTGGAGACACCCTGGGATAGTGCAGGTCTTTATTTCGGTCATAGACCACCAACACCGAACAATCGGCTACGTGTTCGTCTGAGCCTGGGCGCCTTTTTGCCAGGCAATGACAAGCCGCGACCCGCGATTTGTATCGTCGGGACCTTTGGAGCAATGAGGGCTTCCTTGTTGGTCAGGGGCCCACAGCACCTAATAGGAGGTCCAGTGTTGGCAAGGGCCTCGAGCAAGGGCCTAAGGGCAACATTTCGTGGGCAAAAACATGGACGGGACCCAGAATAGCGGTACCGGCGTAAAGAGACTCTAGAAAAGAGAATTAGCAACACGCGAATAGAGATCTTTCCTTTACTTGTGTAGTTCTGCCGTCAAATGCCAGCACTGGTTCGCAGTATGACACAGCAATATGACATCCCACAGCGCTCAAAGGTACTTCCTTCAGAAATGTTGCCGCTTTCGTCCATCCTTCGGCTACCGCCTTAGATGCGGGATCGTTGCCGCGCTGCCTCTGGAGACTGCAACGCCGGGCGTCGGGTTTTTGTCGCAAGACTTGCTGGCGCGCATTGCCAAAACTGTGCTTCTTCATTCTTTCATTATTTGATTTTATAACCCAATTTTGAGCTAATATATATATATATATATATATATATATATATATATATATATATATATATATATATATGTTTACGATGTCTCTGTGACCCCCAGAAAACTTCCGGCACAGCCCCTGCGGGCTATCGGCTGAGAAAAGTTCTACTGAACCACTGTGAATTGAATGGCACCCGTGGCTTTTACATGTAATCATCTTACACCTGTTGCCTTTAGTTTATTGACTTCAAAATACGAACAGAATTGCATATGTCCGTGCCTCCTGGTTTCTGTTTTACCTGAAAGGAATGCCCCACCCTTGAAAACATTAGTGCAAGCATTAGATATGGCGAAACGAGCTCACTCGAAGCTATCGGTATTCTTTGAGTGGAAAAGACTGCTATAAGCAAAAAAATCTCCTTTTTCATAAATATGCTCCACGATACGTCATTACGCCATTGTGCCATGGAACGTTTCCGTGACGTTTCCGTGACGTTTCCGTGACGTGACTGCCAAATTGGCGGTGCGACATTGCCACCCTGGTACTCGCTTTTAGTACAACTCACCAAGAGACGTCAGTGGCAGTGGTGGACGGATTCGCTGAAGCAAATGTCGTTATGGGCTCGTGTTTTGGCCAGGTCTCGTGGTGTTCTTGCCTTTTTCCGTGAGTTTACAATGTTTTCTTGTATTCACATGCTCAGTTATGACTCTTTTATTAATGGGCATGTTCCACATTCAAAATATTGAAGCAAGCATCAGATACGACGAAATAAGCTCACTTATAACTATTGACATACTCTGAGTAGAAAAGGCTTCTGTAGAAAACACAAGTTTTCCTCGAATAAATATGCTCCTTAATACGTCATTGTTTGGTTACGTCGTCGCAACTTGCGCAAAATTGATTGAGAACCAATTTACAGCCTTTATAGCTGGAAATGGTGCTAACGAACGCCAGATATGAACGGCTCGACAATTATATTTGTTTTGGCCTAGAATAGCGTTAACTTTCACTGCCTGCACAACATTGATCGAGAATCAATCGAAGCCAACTGAAATCAAAAAGTATTTCAGTGGCGTCTGTGCGGCGTCGCGCACACCTAAATGACCCTTAATAGTCTGCACGAAATAGTCTGTGCATCTTCGCGGGCGTTTAGCTCAGAGACTAGGCGGGGGGGGGGGGGGGGGGGGGGGGTAGGTCTTGAGAAGGGCAGAGCTCCCCTCGAAATCAAGTGCGCCTTATCCCGTGGATCATTTATTGGGTGGGGCCTTCGTCAACCCTGCATCCCATCCCCAATTACCAAGACTCTGGCTGCGCCCCTGCGTGGGGAACCTCATTGAGCACCGAGTATGCTTACGTAAGTATAATCGCAAGGTCACTGAACAGCCAGCTCAACTAACAACACTGCTAAAATCAGCTTGTGTTGCGCATGCTAATGACATGATGGGTCTTTCATTTTTTATCACACGTTCGAACTGAAACGGAAGCGGGTGGTCCTGCGCAGAGCAGGCCGCTGGTGCCCGTAAGTACGGAGGCATGAGGTTTATTGACATGGTAGGTACATACATCATGGAGATATTTACGCATGACTTTACATGTCAGCTATGCAGCGCACGAAACCCAAACGGCTATGGTGTATGAACGCTTGTGACGTAGCTTCTTGCGCCATCCAGAGTTTAAATTTTGCCGGTGCGAGATTTTGAGATTTTTCAGAGATTTTGCCCTTCGATCCGATTTCGCCTTGGGTGACGTCGTCGGGCAACTGCGCGAGAGGTACAAGCTGTGCAGTTTTTACTTCTTGTTTACTATGCAAGCTTATGGGGTTAATGGCCATTTCATTCCCCCACCCGTTTCCCGCGCCTTCGTCCTCAGGTGAGAAATAATCCCGCGAGATATGCCTACCTTCTAACGGTGCAGATGCCGAGTGATTTAGAAAATTATGATTGATAAGGATGCGTATCTGGGTGTTAAATCAACGAGAGATATCCACAAATGTTGTTCCAGTCCGATTTGGATTCGGTCATCGTGGCGCATGTTCGTGCTAAGTGGTCCGAACCTAGTACAGCGGTGGGATATACAGGCGCCGCGTGCAGGTAGCGCGCAGTTCAGACTCCGTCGGACTCGGGTTTGGACTCAAGGTTTGGACTTGGGTTTGGACTTTGGACAAACAATGGCTTGGGCTCCATCTGTCTTCGCTTTTCTTTCCTTATCTCTGAAGGACAGGACGCTGAGGATGATCGCAACCGAGCTTGATCAGCATTGAGCGCGGAGTTAGCGATCAATGGTCGCAACGAAAAGTGCCTAAAACTGTCCGGCCCTAAATGATGGCACCACATGAGAGGTCACTCGTGGCTGGTGTCATTCATTTCAAATAAAGCATTTCATACTGTTGATCTGTTCAGAATCGCCATCGCCATGATATTTCGCCCTTGGATATTTGCCGTACTATTGTCCTCTTGGTCGTCCTGCCCAAGCACATCATCTCGCCTATTCTCCCTATCAAATCAATGCAGAAATGTTTTGTAAAATCCAGCTACAGCAGTGATTTAGTGCGCTGTGTTGTTCTTCCTAGTGCTGCTACGGGTACACGATCATTTGCACTGATGTGATGGCTTTTTCGGGTCTGATCTCGGATGTGTTCACAGTTACAAACAATAATTTGAGTGACCAATTGCGATAGATAATTTCAGCTGCGGCAATTGAGTACGCTTATATGTCGCTGGCTGGTTATCTGTAAGCTGAGGCCTACGAAGAAATGAAACATCCACATTTAATCCGGTTACACATGCATCGAACGCGGGGCTATGGGATAATGATTTGTAACTTGAGCGATGTATCTGCACAGGCATAAAGATGATGAAGATGAAAACATGATGACGCATTCTGGGGACTCGCATTACGCTCCCGGGGCCTAATCTTCCGGAGGTAATGCGAGATGACAATCCTTACGTTCTGCCTGGAAATATATGCGATCTCCGTTCAGACGTTGCGGGCGTCTGGTGACATACTGCGAATCCACTGCACAGTGTGGAGAACCACTCGGCTCAGTCCCGCCGCCGTCTCTGGATGACGACCGGCCGCAGTGAGCGCGCTGGTCTGCCGCGCTGGCTTGTCCCGCGGTCTGTCGCACTGGTCTGTCACGTTAGTCTGTCGTGCTGGTCTGTCACGCTGGTCTGTCCCGCGGTCTGCCGCGCTCGTTTGCCATGTTCAGTTGCGCTGGTCTGTCCCGCGGTCTGTTGCGCTGGTCTGTCCGGCCGGTCTGTCGCGTCGCGCGACCAGAAGCCTGCACACCAGCTGTGCGCGTCGTCCGGCCAGCGCTGCGCGCGCGGCTGCACCGGCCGGATGTACTGAGCGGCCGGCTGTCCTTGCCGCCACCCGTGTCAGGCCGGCCGGCGCGCGATACTGGGCGCCGTCGCGACCGCCGGCCTTATACAGCTGCCGAGCCGCCAGCGGACGCGCGCCGCGGCGCGAGGCCCGATGAGCGCTGCGGCGCCGCTGGGCCCCCGGCGGCAGCGTGCGCTGGGCCGGCGCGGAGCCCCGGCGGCGGCGGCGGGCAGGCTGGCCGATGTTGGGCCCACAGCTGGCGGGCCAGGTGGCCAGCTGGGGTGGCCACCTGGGGTGACTGGGGTGGTCGCGACTGGGGTGGCCGCTTGGGAACTGAGTCAGACTGAGCGGGACTGAAGCTGATGACGCCACCAGTGCAACGCTCCGTTTCCTTAGGAACCCAGCTGGATCGTGTCGGTTTACCGGTCTGGAGACCCACATCACGTACCATGTCATTCTGTTTTAAAAGCAATTTCTGCCTGGTCAGGATGTGGATGGACAGCAAACAGCCGCACCGTTGGTAGCGATGGCAGTTTGGCGGAACGCCCTTCCGTGCTGGCGCTTGGCGCGGATTGGTTTGCAGTTGCGCTGAACTTTCCCGCCCAACTTAAAGTTCTTCAATGATCTCCATCCACTTTATTCATCGACGTGTTGACATGAAGACCACGTAAAGGTCGCATCGCATCTCATGACATCCGAAAATGACAAATTGTTTCCGAATCGATCGTAGCTTTGTCCGCCGCAACCATTAGAGCTCCAGTGGCTAACCATGCACAAGTGTGCTTCATGCACGAACGACGGCTGCGGCGGTGCATGCATTTTCAGTCGTTTGGGCAATTGGCCTTAAGCTCCAACAACATTCTGTAAAGGGCAAAGCAAAGGTTCGTATCGACTCACATAGAAACTTCCAAGAAACAAAACAATAGCAGCCGTGGTCCTCAACAAAACAGTCGAAAAACAGACATACCCACACCGTCCCTATTAGTGGGAAGTTGGCAGCAGTACACTCCCCATCGGTAAATTGATGTTAGTATGACCATTTTTTCCCGTGTTCGACGTTAGATGTGGAATATGTGGAAGCCCAAATCTCGAAACACGCCCTCCCTGAACGTGGCTAAGCACGCGTTCACCACCAGGCTACGCCTCCCCCCTCGCCCTTCCAACACCCGATGATGCCAAGCGGCTCCGGCGCTGCACCGACCAACCGCATCGAGGCAAGGCAAGGGGTTAACCGATCCCGCCAGGCACTCGGGTGATCGTCCCTCTCCCCCGGTGGGTCCGTGACGTCAGCGTCCGCCGATCACAACAGACACGGAGACGTCCGCTCTCCCTTGAGCACTGCGTGACGTCACGGCTCCAGCGAACACGCGGGGGCACTGCGCAGCACCCGCCCTCCCCTGAGCGCTGCGTGACGCCATGGCTCCAGCGAACACGCGGGGGGCACTGCGCAGCACCCGCCCTCCCCTGAGCACTGCGTGACGTCACGGCTCCAGCGAACACGTTGGGGGCACTGCGCAGCACCCCTCTCTCCTGAGCACTGTGTGACGTCACGGCCCCAGCGGACACGCTGGGGGCAGTGCGCAGCACCCCTCTCTCTTGGGCGGTGCGTGACGTCACGGCTCCAGCGAACACGCTGGGGGCAGTGCGCGGCACCCCTCTCCTCTCAGCACTGTGTGACGTCATGGCTCCAGCGAACACGCTGGGGGCAGTGCGCAGCACCCCTCTCTCCTGAGCGGTGCGTGACGTCACGGCTCCAGCGAACACGCTGGGGGCAGTGCGCAGCACCCCTCTCTCCTGAGCGGTGCGTGCCGACCCGACGACGGCGGCCCTACAGCTGGTAGCCGAGCTGGGCGAGCCAGCCCAGACTGCGTTCGGAGCTCGTGCTGGGCGCGTACTCGCAGCCGACCCAGCCGGCGTAGCCGAGCCGCTCCAGCAGGCCCAGCACGTAGCCGAAGTCCAGCTCGCCGGCCACGCCCGGCTCGTGTCGGTGCGGCGGCTGGGCGATCTGCACGTGACCTGCCGACCGGCCGCCCGGGGTCACCGCGATGCGGCTCAGAGCCTTCGGCACGCCGTTCGCTAGCGTTACCTTCCGCCCGCATCGCCCTTTGGAAATATCCACGCCGACTCGATGCAACGCCGCCCTGCCGCTACTGTTTGCGTTGTTACTACGCCACGATCCTGGCTTATGGGTTCCGAGCTCTGATGCTGAGTTATCGATGTTCAATATACCGGGAGGTGCTGGTTAAACGACGTTGTTAACAGAGCAAACATGGGTTATATTGTCAGTTCTCGACGTTCCAGCCGTACTCATGATCGGCCTGCAGCGTCGAGCACCACCGTTAAAACCAATGTTTGCTCTATAGCATGTTCAACCTATACATCCTGATAGCACTTCTCCGCTTTTATCTCTCCGCTGCATCAAACTGGAGAAACTAACCAGCTTTTGCACTCCTCCCACTCCCTGACTTCTAGCCTGGGCCCGTGCATCGCCTTGCCCTACCGGGCCTCCTGCCAGGGTCTGTACGCTCGCGCGTTTCTAGTGCCCATCAGCGCCACTGCACCTCGGTGGCGCTGGCATCGGTGGCCAAATTGCTTGTACTTTACGTGCGTGTGGTATCCGCACTGATCTTACCGGGTGCTGGCAACAAGCAGCACTTCCTAGCGCTTTCGTGACGCTGTTTACGAGCCCACAATCCGTAAAACGTCCTTGACGCACGCAATTATATTATTGCACTTAACTTCATCGATTGCTCACCGGTATAGGGCAGAAGCTCCTTTAGATTGTTACTGATGTTGCCACAGATATTCTGCAGATGGAAAATATCCACTTGAAGCCGGAGGTGGTCACTGTTCACCTGTTTGATGACCTCCAGAGCTGTACACAGCGAACAATGAATGAGCAAGACACTGGTGTTCACACCCGCTCGCCCTCGCCCTCTCCCCCGTTCTCTCTCTCTCTCTCTCTCTCTCTCTCATCTCTCTCATCTCTCTCTCCTCTCTCTCTCTCCTCTCTCTCTCCCGTCTCCGCTCTCCTCGCTCCCCCATCCCGTCCGCTCCGCTCCCCGCTCCCGCTCCCGCTCCCGCTCCCGCTCCCGCTCCCGCTCCCCGCTCCCGCTCCCGCTCCCAGCCTCCCGCTCCGCTCCCGCTCACGCTCCGCTCCCGCTCCCGATCCCGCTCCCGCTCCCGCCTCCCGCCTCTCCCGTCCCGCTCCCGCTCCGCTCCCGCTCCCGCTCCCGCTCCCGCTCCCCTCCCGCTCCCGCTCCCGCTCCGCTCCGCTCCAGCTCCCGCTCCCGCTCCCGCTCACGCTCCCGCTACGCTCCCGCTCCCGCTCCCGCCTCCCGCCCGCTCCCGCTCCCGATCCCGCTCCGCTCCCGCTCCCGCTCCCGCTCCCGATCACCGCTTCCGCTCTCTCTCTCTCTCCTCTCTCTCTCTCTCTATCTCTCTCTCTCTCTCTCTCTTCTCTCTCTCTCTCTCTCTCTCTCTCTCTCTCTCTACCTCTCACTACTCCTCTCCCTCTCTATCTATCTGCTACCGAGACTCATGCTCCTTGTGGGTCTGGTACTCCACAAACATGGCGACGAATGCTGGCGAACACGCCCATCTCATACCCCGCGTAAAACGCCAAACCATATCACACTGGTCACACGAAGATCGTACGGCACTGAGCACACATCACACCGCATCACGCGCATCCGCCGGGCCAAGACCTTCCCGCTCTGACTGTCCGCCGCCTCCTCATACCGACCCACCGTACTGGAAGTCGTTGAGGAAGTAGACCGTGTATCCGCCTGCGGCGAGATGGGTTCGATCAGACCGATGATGTCTTCCTGCGCCAGCCTGGCGGCCGCCAGGCCGCATGTTGCGCTTCGAAACGTGGCGGCGCCGGCCGCACGAGACGTGGCGCCGGCCATTATGTGCAGTCTGCCGGAGACGGCCCGCCCGGGGGTCCCGTCACCCATGGGGCACCACTACGTCACCGACGGGACGCTGCCGCGTCGCCGGCAGGGCACCACTGCGTCACCGACGGGGCACCACTACGTTACCGACGGGGCGCTGCCGCGCCAACGACGGGCACCACTGCGTCACCGACGGGGCGCTGCCGCGTCAACGGTGGCGCCTCGCGACGGCAGGCCGGCTGGCGATGGAAGCACATCCGGTCGGCTGTCCAAGGCTAGCAGGCCAATTTGGCGCACAATGCACAATAGATTGCCCAAGACGGATACCAGATCGCGTAATTGGCTCGACAGAAAGCTATTAAGTGCTCTGAGGGAATAATGGTCGCGCAAGGAGGTAAACCGCTGCGCCTGCCCTGGCAATAATGACCGGCTTATACAGCATCCGAACTCCGGATACGCAGGCGACCGGGCAATGCCGGTCCCAATTTTCAGGTCCGACCAATAGCGCAGCTGATGGCGAGTCGTATGATATGAATGTTAAACGCGCTTCGCGGCTCGTTGCCAGACGACCACGAATGCCTTCCATAGCCACACCACTGATCAAAAGCACCAGGGGTGGGCATCAACCACCAAAACGAAAACTCGCCACCTTCTTGTGAGGTGCAATGGCGAATGCGTACGCAGATGATTGAAGCATGGTGTCAACCTATGTATCCACATGCCAAAGTTCGATTCCGCCTCAGCACACTTTCATGATACGATAAGTGCCGAAGTCCACGAAAGTGTCGGTCAAATAGCGATGGCAGCAAGCTCATGCAACTTCGAATCAGAGAGGAAACCTTGCATAAAAGACACTTTCCGGGCAGTCCTATGCAGAAGGACCTGCCTCACGCTCTGGTCAGGCAGTGTTATGGCCATGTGTTTAGGGCTGCCACACTCAATCATGGCGAAGAAGAGGGCTGATGCCAATGAACTGAAATGGCTATGCTAGTGAATATGCAGAGGTTGGGGCTTCCTGCTTAAGGGGATCAATGGGTCCAACTTGACCATGTCATAACACCATAGATTTGCAATGTCTTACTTCTGCAGTTCAAGCCTTGCAGTATTGTATTGAAGTCTCCCAGCTTGATCTGAACTTGTCCTCCAGGCCAGGAAGAGCTGCCAGCCCTTTTGCACCATCTCAGATCACCTAAAAGAGGATGAACAAAATTGTATACATATGCAATTCTGTCAGCATGGCACAGCACACCACATCCTGATGTGATACCGATAACTCACAACCAAAAGAACCAAATATAACATGCCACATCAGTACCTGCAAGGTCAAAAAGGACAGCTCATGATGCAACATGACACAAAAGTGAGGACACCTAACAATGTACACTAAGGATACCTTGACCCTGTCAGGGAGAAGTAAAGTCCCTGAAGGATACTAACTCCACACCACAGTGTCACAGGCCTCTGGAATTCAAGATACAGCTGTCAACTGCTTTTGAAGCATCTAAACTTTGAGGACCCATCATGTGCACAAACAACACATGGTGTCATGTTTTGAAATCAGAGTCAAGGTGTGCATCAATTTAGCCAGTGGCATACCATTCATATCACTTCAAATGTACATGATATACATTCCTGGATGTGCAAGTGAGTAAGCATTTAAATGTTTTGGCTAATAACCAAAGCCTGAGCAATGTCCTGAAAATCAACCATATCACAAATACACTATGTGGTATCCAAGCTACATTACATGTTTGACGTGAGCTAAACCCAGACTGCAAAAGCCAGTGTTTTGCAGGAACTATGTGGCTTATATAATTTCAAACAAAAATGCTCCTAAACATTTCTTTTGACAGAAATATTTTTGATATCCAGTGCAATTTGGCTAGGCCTAAATTTAACAAAAATGTGCTCCATGTTCTGTAGACAAACACCAAATTAGCATCCAACATGGTGGGTATACTTATTGTGGACTGGAGCTACAAGAGGGAAAAAACTGCTTCATTCACACAGATTCAAAACTATTGACACTGCAGTAATTACACTTACCTCAATTTTAGTAAACCAGCATATGCCAATCATAAACAGGCGAGATGACTTTAGTTTTGGGGTTCTGTTTTCAATACCATATGAAGCATCTTAGAGCACCCCTGGATCCCAGACTGTCTTAGCATGTGATACCTGGATGTGCATTTAGAAGAACTTGCTGAACTCCAGCTGATTCTTGAGCATCTTTTATCTGATCGACAGAATAACCGACCGGAAATGCTGATTCGACTGCTGCGAAACCGGCTCTTTTGGCTGCAGCATATCTTAGCGTAAGATCACCAGACTCCTTGAACATAAAAGATATGTTCGAAGCAAATCTAAGGGGCATCGCGGGCCGGTTGAGATTGAAAACAGTTCAAAATTGCGCCCACAAAAACGCGGAGAACACGACCGCTCCTCCCGATTTGCTCAACATCCGCTGCGCGTGCACCTTTTCAAACACAGGCACCGGTGATGTCTCTAGTACGCCGAATTTAGAGAAAGATAGAGCTACCATATTTATCTGTTGTGTGTTGATAAGGGTATATTTTAAAATGCTGGTGGATTTGAACTCAGCAAATTTGCTTATTCGTTATAGAAGTGCTTATGAGCGAGACGGAACGGTTCCAAATGAATATGGTTCCTATTATCTGGCAAAAGGTATTGTTGGCTTTTGATACATTTAAATTGTGTCTGTGGTGTTCTTCAGTTTCTGTTGGCACTTCACTAGGGTTCCCATCGATACGGTCCCCAGCATTTGATTAACGCGGTGACCAGTGCCCATTGACGCTCAGACCTGGTTAGTGGCTTCACTGACTTGCAATCTCTGTCACTTTTCAGATGGTTTCCGGCGGCACTCGCCTGGGGTGCTGATGGCCGGCTCCGACCCGCTGCAGCAGGCCCTCTGCGCGGTATTCGACGACTCTGAGCTGCAGGACCTCATAGCCGGGCCGACAGAGGCCGGCTCGAAGGTGGTGCATATCGGCCGCCGTTGCCGGGCTGCATGCTATCTCTTTCACCTCAGTGGCCTAGCCATTCACCAGCCATGATGTTCGCCACTCTCGGGGCCGGTCGTGCACTACCTTAGGGCCCGGCGAATCAACCAAAATACGCGGTCAGCAGGCTGGCACTGTATCGCACGACCAGTCCGCTCACACAAAACGGCAGGCGTCCGTGCGGGACTGCGATTCTAACGGCATCAATTTGTCTGTCATTGGATTATTCTCGGATTTGGTCGCTCGTCACCCTTAAACACATCGCGCACGCTCTTTCGACGTCTGCCGGCCGACTGATGACTCAACATCCGTCGGCATTTGGCCTCGATCCATTGATCGCCAGTGCCCGCGTGAGCGCGCGCGACAGACGGCGCTTTCTGCCGCGCTCCGCAAGCGCCCTGCCTGAGAGGCCTGACCTGACCCAGCCGAGCCGCTCCTGGACGGCGCTCGTGGCTCCGACAGGCGGCGCCTGCGTGCGCCCGTGGATAACCCGCCGTGCCCGCGGGCCGGCCGAGCGCCGAAGGTCAGAGTGCCCGGTCAGTGCTGTGGAGCAGGAGCGCGGCGCGGTGCCGCCCAGCCCACTGACCAGCACGCATGCCTCTCCAGGAGGTGAACGGAAGTCCTCCGACTTCAGTGAGCGAGGCCATCAACTTCTTCAACTATGGCGTTAATAGTCAGGTGAGACTGGAGACTGTCTTCTGTCGGGGTCGACGAACGTTTGACTCTTTCATATTCGACCCATGTTAGGATGTGTTTTGTTAAAATGTGTGAGAATGCGTTAAAAATTAGGGGAGTACAGGATTATCTGAGAATTTCCTGAGGTAAACATGACTGTACAATGGCACGCCTTTAAGCTCCCGTAAACAATAAATTGCATTGCTAGGATAGGGAGCACGTGGAGCTCACTTTTCATCCCGCTGCATTTTGAAGGCAACACGTATGATTTTTTTCCACGTCCCGAGATGTGGAATCTGGTTGCCGTGTTTTGCGGCGTACGAAGTCACGTCAGCATGCAACAGTTACATGTAAAATGACACCCCGGTGACGCGATCTGGGCTCATTCGATGAGAGCGACGAGATATCGCGGTACACTTATTACATGAACTTAACGATGTGGTGCAGATGCTGTCTTTCAGCCGGCGGCCGGCGCCATATAATGAAAAGTCCTCCTGTCCGCAGAAGCCCCCTCGGCTGCCCAGCTTGGATGCACCGCTGGCGGACGGGGGCCGGCTCGGCTCAGGGACGGCTCTCGCGGCCGACAGGAGGTGTCGGCCGGCCCGCCGCGCCTCTCTCCACACCTGGTCAGTCCCCGCAGGTCAACTGACGGTCAGAGACATCGTGGCTAACATGTCAGAGAGGCTCACTGGCTCGCAGGCGTTGGCCATGAGGCAGTACGGCCGCTCCGAGTCGGTCGGCTTTGTCGTGGGGTGCACAGCGCATGTTGGGGCTACATGGCGCCGTTGGCACTCGCCGCGGATGCGGGTGGAAGTGTGACAGAAGGCGGCCGAAGCGCTTTGTCTGTGGCTAGGTGAGCTGCTTAATCATTCGCCCGCGGGCCGTCCACGTCTGTCAACACGTCCCGTGTTATATTATGTGTTATACCATAAAGCTGATGGAATAGGGTATTGCTAGATGCTGGGCTAAAATACGGCTTTAGCACCTATCAGCCACGCTCTCGTGGTTCAACAGCTCACGTGTTTGATGAATTACTACGCACAAACATTTCGCGATTACCTGTCGTGTCGAATTTTTCACAACAGCATCTCCACGGCAGTATAGCGATGCACGCTTTGTGTCATTACGATATCGTTCTTCCAATAGTTATTCTGGCTAGCTGCAGCTCGCGCAATACCGTGCTGTAAACAAGAGCAGAGCTGTCGCAGAGCTCGTGCGAGAAAACCCGGTCCGACGTGTGCCCAAGGTCTTCGAAGGTTGAGCGCTAGGGCTACTCTAGAAGAAAATTTGCCGGACACCACACTAATATTAATGTTAAATGTTCGCGGAAAGTTGGCAGCATTTGTTCCCCCCCCCCCTCCCCCACCCCCAAGCTTGTGCTCTGCGCCTTTGCAGCTCGAATCAACACAATTGTCGCCTGTGCCCCTTATTTGCCGTCTGCCCTGTTTCACGACCGTGTCGACCGCGTATTGTGTTGGGGTTGAACTGACCGTGGTTGCTGCCGGGGCCGTCTGGGAGCGACCCCTGCTGACGCGCCGCTGGTGGCTGCGGCGCTGTCGGCTCGGTCCGGCCCTCAGCCCCTGCTGTCGTGCCGCTGGTGGCTGTGGTGTTGTCGGCTCTCCCGGCTCCCGCCCCTGCTGACGTGCCGCTGGTGGCTGCGGCGCTGTCGGCTCGGTCCCGGCCCCGACCCCAGGCACCGGGCGGAGGCGGTGACCCCGCGGTGCGTTTCGTGCGAACATCAGCCACTTGTGACTTGTCTGGCGAATGACTGATGTGGCTGCTCATGCTGCCAGCTAGTGAGGTGCAAACGGTCCGTCGGCGGCTAATGACCCGACTGATGGACAAGGTGGGCATGCGTGGGGAACCCTTAGTCAGGTTTCGCCATCAGAGGATCGACGCGCGAAGCCGGTGGCCGTGTCGACAGTGGTTTTTAGTGGCCACGTGGCTGGCAGCGGGGTATGTGAGGGCAGAGATAACGCTTGAGTCCCGTTTCAAGTAGTTCAATGTTAAGGTTCGGCTATTTGTAACTGACCCCTTCCCCCTCCCCTCGTGCTGTTTGTCCATACTTGTCACATGCATCCTGAGCTGTGCACATTAAGCCTCTGTATTTGAGTGGACAGAAGTGCAGCACACTGATAAAAACTATAAGTTTAGGATGCCCGAAGTGGATTCAGTTCCAGTGCACCATTTCCCAAATGCGAAATAATTTCTTGTTTTCGTTACGCGGTAGCTTTTACCTTGAACGCCAAATGATTTGATATACTTGTTTTTCGCATAGCAATCGGTGGCCATTAAAGTGATTGCTTAACTCTCAGTGAAGAATGCAGGAGGCTGAAGAAGTAAGCGTAGCATGCTGCACTTTTTCATTCGGGCCCCGCCCAGGCAACGTTATGCGTACATCGAGTTGCTTGTATTCAAGCTGACGTTGAAGCTGAAAACGTCAGTTTTTCTCCAACCGAGGGTGCCGTTAACCTCGCCTTTCCTCCAATGACCAAATGGGAGGAAATAGTGGAGATGGAATCTCCGACAGGCTGCATTATGCTGACGATATGGGTCTAGAATAGCATGCATGCCAGCGATTTTCAAAGGGCGCATTAGGAATGCTTTTAGCCGAACCGCACAATAGCGAATTCAGGCCAGTGGGAAACTGTGAAATCCCCCAATATAAGGCCTTGGCTGCCGACAGGCACACCTGAGCACGGCAGTAGCCGTTGCGTCACTAAGTGGTTTCGTGAAGAAGCCGGCACAAACGCGCGACTCGCAGGTGCAGCGTCAGTCGCTATGTTGCTCGGGAGGGATGATGCGAGCAGTGGCGGAGCCAAGGTGCGGGTGTGGGGTGGGAGTTCACGGGAGTTAACCCCTCCCCTGTTAGGTTCGAGCGCAGTTTTTCGCCAAGACGCTACTGAGTATAATTCCGGACGCCGGCGATCATGAAAACTATTTTTATTTTAAATATCAAACATTGTCATGGCCAGTGACATGTAGAGCCTAACAGCCGTAATTTCAAACAAGACTGGCTGATAAATTGCCGAGTGAACACGCACCGCACCCAGCTGAAACAATTGTTTAAGGTAGCAGGTCAAACAAACATCGATATCTCATTGATACGCTAGACACTGCACCTATTTGCTTTGTGTGGGCCTGTTAGTCTGTTCCGAGCGTGGCCATAAAAATAGCCCCTCCCGCTCGCAGGTCATGTTAGCCCCTCCCGTAGCGAATCTGCTGTATGTCACACCACAGCAATATGCAGGCGTGCGCGGAGGATCCCGCGGTACTGTCGTATCGCTGCAGCGCGGTACTGTCGTATCGCGGTATCCTCCACGGTACTGCCGTATCGCTGCAGCGTGGTACTGTCGTATCGCGGCACTGCCGTATCGCTGCAGCACGGGTACTGTCGTTATCGCGGATCCTCCGGGTACTGTGTTATCCGCATCCTCCACGGTACTGTCGTATCGCTGCAGCACGGTACTGTCGTATCGCGGCACCTCCCCGGGTACTGTCGTATCGCTGCAGCACCCGGTACTGTCGCTCGCGGTATCCTCACGGTACTGTTGTATCGCTGCAGCGCGGTACTGTCGTATCGCGGTATCCTCCACGGTACTGCCGTATCGCTGCAGCGTGGTACTGTCGTATCGCGGCATCCTCCACGGTACTGTCTTATCGCTGCAGCACGGTACTGTCGTATCGCGGTATCCTCCACGGTACTGTCGTATCGCTGCAGCACGGTACTGTCGTATCGCGGTATCCTCCACGG